AAAAATTTCCATAAATGGAACTTCCCAATTTGGAAAGAATTTGAATTTTAAATTTCAAATTCCAATGAAGGCTAGGGGAGGGAGGCGTGGGGGAAAATGGCGGCGAGGGGAGAGGCCGGCGGCAAGGTGGCCGGCGGGTGGAGCTAGGGTGGCCGACGGGTGGAGCTAGGGTGGAGATGCTAGTGGAGGTTTCGGCTTCTTCCACTCTTGACTTGGCTCGCGGTAGTCAATGGAGGAGAAGAAGAATGTGCATGAAGAGGGGAGAAAGGAGATAACCAAAAATATACGATAAAGATAGAGATAACTAACGAACTCACAAAGAGATCGTAAGAACCGCGAACCTCGGACTCTTCCAAAGATTGGCGGGTATTGCGAATTACCCTCCTCGGGCTTCTCCTCTCATGAACTCACTAAGAGATCACGTGAACTCACTAAGAGATCGACAAAACATGAAACTTTTCATTATCAATAATCATCCTTTCCAAGAGGAAGGAGAAGGCTTAAATAGCCAATTACATGAAGGAAACATAAAAGACATAATTGCCCCTAGGGCCAACATAAAGCAAAGCCCTCAAGTGAGGGTAGAAATGGAAAAGTACAAATAACAAATAAAATACATAAATAGACACGATCGTAGCCGTTGATCTTCGATGTCCTCATCATAAAGCCTCTTGTGTTCCAAGAGGCAACATTAAAGTTCATCATTGGGCACCGGAAAGACAGGTCTACATATGAAGTACCAGAGTACACATGTGCACTCTTTGTGTGCTCTATTTTTTTAATATATGGCTCTGTACTCATTGTATTCTCTAACTAAATGAGGTATATAAGAACACAATTATATACTGCACGTAGAGCTGCACTGTTTATAATTTCTCAATAGTTAGAGTTGTCATAAAGTGTACATAAAAATAACGAATGTGAAAATTTTTTTAAAAAATATTATAATCATAAAAGAAAATTAATATTTTATGAATTTATTCATTTTAAAGCTCCTTTCTTATGGGGTTATTCATACATGCAATCTAATTATACTACGATAAAGGATATCTTTAAATCTTAATGATATCGACATATTTTATAATCCTCTCAAAGCAATCTCTCTTTTAAAATATCATTATTTACACTAAAAATTATATTATAATCTATACAACATTTTCTATATAATAATATCTAAGATATTTAAATTTATCACACTTAACTATCATATTACCATCTGATAATATACGCATAATCATTAATATCAAATTTCATTAAGCATCCTATGCTGACTATTTGCTCTACTAATTTTAAATCCTTTCATCTTCCAATCAATTTCTAGAATGATATAAATTTTCACTTTTTACAATAATTATCTCGCCCATTAGATCTACATGACACCTAAATTTGAAAAGGAATGTTCTCTAGAAAGGGAAATGTTCTACTATCAGTTGACCGGTCAAACATAATAGGTCTAAAATTTGGAAGTAACTCTAAAAGCATAAAAACATATTATTTCAGAAATGTATGCAAGCTTTTAGCAATTTCCCATCATTTTCTTAATCAAACAGCTTACTATCATCTTCAGAAAAAAGGTTCTATTTTTCTTTTCCTTCCACAAAAAATATTCAGAAGTTTTCATGAAAACACGATGCAATAAAGAGCTATGTGACACTTATCATCCAGCAAGCAATTAAATTCAAAGTCTAGTGTAACAAAACCTAATTATTTCATAGTAGTCAAAATCAAAGAGGCCTTAATTCTGCTTACCCAATGATAGTATTCATCTCTCAAGAGTTCATTCATCAATCCTCCACTTTGGTTTCTACTGGCATGGATCTCCAAATTCCGGCTAATACACTGCCATAGATTGAATGGCAGATGCTAGAAACTGCACATGGAACTGCAGTGAGAGGGTTACCAAAATGCTGGCTTGCAAGAACAACACCAAGGACTGAATTCTGCAGACATAGAAGAGTAAAAGCTTTTTAGTTCCTATGGAAGTAAACTATCATGTATAATGATGCAATCTTTATACACAGTAAACTTACTTGCATGCCAACTTCAATTGAAATCGTTCGTGCCGATATATCGCCAATGCCCAGCAGCTTCGATAACACATAGCCGAAGAAAAAACCTGAGCCGTGAAGAGCGATGGAAGCAATAACAACTTGCAACCCAGATGAAAGGATAGCTGAGGCACTCTGAGCAATTGCACTGCCACAAAGGATGGCCACTGTTGCAACAGCAATGAATGGCATCACTGGAGAAACAAATTTGACTAGATTGTTGCAGTATTGATTAAGAATTGCGCCAAGTAGCACAGGAAAAAGTACAACCTGCGTTTAAAAAGATATATGTCAAGGTAAAATCATAAGAGAGTTAAGATAGAAACATGCAGATATTGTGTTTCACACCTGCACTGTTGAAACGAAGAGGCCAGCTGAATCTACTGCAACAAATTGGCCAGCTAGTTTGGATGTTAGGAAAGGTGTCATGATCTACAATTAAACAACATAGATCATTGAGATCTTAAAACCTTAAAATAAATTGAAAAAGGAAAAAAAACTGATTTCATACAGCAGCAGCAAAGGTGCTTGCTGCGGTCATTAGGACCGACAAAGCCACATTTCCTCTGCAAAGCAAGGAAATGATATCAATAACTTCATTTGAGATTAACTAAATTAAACAAAGCAGAAAACCCACCGAGCAAGAAATGTGACAATATTACTTGCAGTTCCTGCAGATGAGTAATGGTGCAAGTTTTAGCCAGGTTTATGGATGAGATGGTTTTTAAGAAAGCTGGGAAATGATGCGGACATACCTCCGGGGCAGCAGCCCACAAGTATCAAACCAGCAGCATAATATGATGGCAACTTTAAGAACTTGCTCACAAAGTACCCTGATAATGGCATTACCTGCATCAAAAACTATTCCTTCACAGGTTCGGATGAATAAAATATTTTAATCTTGCCTGTCATCTGTCAATTGTCAACTGTCAGAAAAAAGTGTCGCTACAATGAATAGGGAGAAAAATCACGGGAATCTTACTAAAAAACTTGCAAGAAAACCAGAAACTTGTATCTGCTAAAAAGATGGTTTTTCTGCTTTACTTTGATATCCGGAGATGGCATAGAATTTGAGTTGTAGATTTTTTCAAACCTGCTGGAGTTCTTGATTTCGTGGTTGCTACGGTTTTTCAGGTCTCAATCCTCTACTCGAATGCAGATCCTTTACTCTTTTTGTTGGCTGCTTTGTAGACGGACTCTGGGCAATGATGATTTGCTCAAATAAACTGTCGTGTATTTTTGATACTACACCACAGATAATTCACTATTGTCATGCAACTGTGGAAGGAGCAAGTGGGATGCTCGTGAATATCTTGACTTTCGAGCCTATCACATCAAATGGCTTCGTTGGTTCAGCTTTTCGTCTCCCTTTACTTTGCTCCAATTGTTTTGGATTTTTTTGGTGTTTTGCTGTAATTGAATGGCATATTTTTACTTTTGATTTGGAGCCCAGACAATATTGTATTTTTTATCGGCTCGACCTCTCTGAATATAGTACGACCTTTTTGTATTTTGTTATAGTAAAATTTGGCTAGGGCTCTCATAGTCCAAAAACTAACCTTCACTACTGTCTATTAATGTTTGTTATCAATGATGCTATCTTTAGTTATCCATCTTTATCTTCTCGGACTCATTCTCTTCATCATCAAGGTTTACAATTCTAAAAGTTGAAGCTCTTGCACCTCCGTTTAACAGAACTTGTTTCCTAGTGCATTCTGGTAATGATAATTTGATTTATGTGATTTGAAAAGATCATCAAGAGTAAACAGTGCCCCCAAGAAGCTCATGAAGGGAGTTCTTCTTCCTCAATCAAGATCCTAACAATATCTATCCTTAAATTTCAGCATTTAGCATATCTACGGCCGCTAATTGAGTTGCTAGTCTGGAAGCAAATAATTGCAGGGTTTATTAGCGTAGTCACCAGTTAACTTAAAAAGCATGCTCTTTCGACTATACAACAACAACAACAACAACATCAAGCCTTTATCCCACTACGTGGGGTCGGCTACATGAATCCTTTTTCTCACCTAACGCAACCCTCCACTTTTCTCATCCAGGACTTGGGACCTGGCAACGGCAGTGTTAAAAAAAATTTCCTATGTGAGTAAACTCAAATGCATAAATAGGTGAGAGTTAAAAGCATTTAACTATTTGATGGAACTGAAAATTGAAGGCAGCCTCAGTGTTTGTATATTCAAAAAATACTTAATATGATAGCCACAAAAGTCAGTAGCAAACAAAATAAAAACAATATAAAACCCTTCTTGATGATTAGAAGACCTGAAAGCAGATCCTAGAGATGAGAATGTGATAGCTCGGGAAAAGTCAACTCCTTCCTTGAGCCTCAAAAGGGGACTGCATAGTAATATTTCTTAAGATAGATTAGGTTTTCAGTCAACCAAATTTTTCTTGATGCAACACCACATTTTATTTTAGACTGGGATCCAAACTTCCTATAAATTCCCCAACCAATGGTTAAGTGAATGCACTCTCGATTATGGAGTTAATTTAAGCTCATTTTTAAGGTAAGATCTAATAGTTAAGTTAGGTTTCATTTAGATTGATGGGGAAAAGTTAGGGTGATGGAGATCTACCCAATCAAGATCTCATAAATCTATTATCCCAAATATAACAATGGACATAGTCTACCAACATTAGGAATGCCTTCAAATATGGGCATACTTTTAAAGCAAGTTCAATGTATAAAGCACTTGCACAAGCATTAGTGCTTGGGTCTGTCAATTATGTTGAATCTTGAATGATGCAAGAAGAAAGAACAATAGCAGGGAAGAAGAAGATAAACGAAACTCTAGAGAAACTTTTAATTCTTGATCACAGATAGCATGAGTATACACGTATTTATAGATTTGTCTAGCCGTAGTTGCATAGGAGGCTACAGGCTAGCTTAATACATTAGATTGTTGTGGCTTGGTGTTGCTAATATCCCCCGGCAAACTGATGGGTCTTTGAATGACGCTCAGTTTGAGTCTAAGTTGCCGAAATCGAGTAGTTGAAAGAGATTTGGTGAAAATGTCAGCAACTTGATCAATCGTGCTGATTGGAAGAAGCCGGATGGTATGTTGTTGTATGTGATCACGAATAGAACAGTGATCTATTTTGATATGTTTCGTGTGCGCGTGAAACACCAGATTGTTTGCAAGAGCGATGGCAGATGTGTTGTCGCAATGTATGTCTCTGGGATGATGTTGTGTTATACCGAAGTCTTTGAGAAGACGTCGGAGCCAGATGACGTCTGCGGTGAGAGCAGCTAGAGCGCGGTATTTGGACTCGGTGGATGACCGAGCCACTGTGCGTTGAATCTTGATCAACTTTACCCTCTTCTAATCAGTGAAGAAATCCATCTTGGTGTTGCTAATAAATTCTTACAATAAAAGATAATGTATCTCTTGGTAATATTTGGATATATTTTTGATGATTTAGTGTCTTGACATATTTAGTGGAGCATTAACGTGATTATCAATGCTCTAGTGAGAGTATCGTATGTTTATGTCTTATTTATAAACATGTAGGCTATTCACAAATGCTGTATACTTTTAAAACATCCTCCTTGAATATTATTGTAATTAAAACTAAGGGTTGTTTTAAAGTATGACCTTACTTATTGTATTTGTTTCTATATATAACTTATAAAGTCCTGAGCTTGCCCACTAGTTGCTATGGGACTCACAACCCAAGCTTTATGGGCAAACTCATTTTTTAATTTTATATTGATTTGAGATGCTTAGGAGTAATGAAATTATTTGGTAAAAACTCAAGTTAATTAGGGAAACCTTGTTGTTGTCTTCTCTTTGAGAGATAATGCAAGTATTCAAGAAAAATTAGCACATTTATATCACTATTTTGAGGAGTTATCTCAATATGTGATTACTTATTACAAATAATTGAGAGTTTTACACATATACAAGTTGGAGACTCATTTGCCAGCAGTTTGGTGCTTCATTCACCACCAATCATTAATTAACTCTTATAATTGTCCATGCACTATGCCCCTTGCATTTATCTTATTAAGAAGGCAATTGTTGATTAAACATGGACATTAGTGTTTCATGCTTGTTAGTTATGATATATCAAAAAAAAAAAAAAGGAAGGAAAAAAGGCTAGAAATTGAGTTTAGAAATGAACATCTCCTAAAGTTTGAGTTGGTTTTCTAGTGTAAAAAATGCTACGAGCCTCACCTGGTAGATGCCATAGTGAAGAGAGGCATGATTTATACTATGAGAAAAGCTATGGAGCTCATACCCACACATTTCATAGTCGTCTGAGGCACGATTTAATTCATGAATATTTCATACATATACATTAACTGAGTTTGCAGGCGGACATCATCTCTCCATGAGTTTCGTTAGTTTGCATGTGTCAATATAACTCTGATGCTCACCCCAAGATATGGCATAGTGAGGTGAGGCAAGATTAACGCCATAGGAAACGGCTATGAGGCTCACCGTCAAAATACGACATGATTTTAAGAATGTATAAAATAGTTGTAACTAACTCGCAAATTCAATTTGAAACTGAATTTAAAATTTGAATTGAAATTTCTACAAAATTACAAAAAATAATTTCAAATAAGAATATTGAGTATTTGAATTGTTAAGAAGTTCTCAAAAAAATTGTTAGATTTTGGAGTTTGTTAGAACCAATGTAGTGGCGTGATTTTAAGAATGGAAAAAATAGATGCGAATGTAAATGGAAGATAAGGTATAGAATTTAGTGGGTTGTAAGGGAGATTAGGATTTAATTTTTCAAGTTTTTGTAGACATTTATGTTGCAAGAAAATAAGAATGCAATATTATCATGATTTAAATTAGATAATATGTGGCGTTGCAACCTGTTGCAACCTACAACACCGCAATTCTAGGGTTTGGAGTGCGGCACCGCTGTACTCTCTATTTCCAGCCCAAGCCTAGAGATATGCAATGATGCACTGCTTGCATGGGAAAACATTTTTTTCAAAGGCAAGACCCACAAACCTCAATCATGAGGAGCGCTCCCGCTGCAACCCACTGGTGAGCTCAAACAGCCTAACCTACGTTGAATTACAGCAATTTCCACACAATGTAGTTGTATTTCACGAGCCACAAATATTTGTATTGATACAATCTCATTGAAAGACACAATCAAATTCCACCTAGAATTAACAAACATTTGTAGATGAAAAATCCTTTTACTTTGATGTCATTAAAGCTGATTGGGATCGTGAAATGAAGATTGTTGTGGAATTTGATGACTTATTAAGAAGAGAAGGGCCCAATGCAGTGGAAGAACTAAGAAGTTACGTGAAAGAGATTGAGAAGACTAATGGATAGACATATAATTGTGCGGGTGGCAAGATTTACAAGGATAAATAATGGCAAAACAAACATAATTTTCCAGACTACCAAAAGAAAATCAGACGAAAGATCAAAAAAGGAAAAAAACAACTACCGTGTATTGCAGCACGAAACCAGCAGCCAACTCTCTGGGCATCAAGAGCGCAGCTCTGAGATCATCCAGCGTTAGCGTCATCCCCATTCCTGCTAAAACCAAAAACCACAAATCTAATCTCCTCCGCAAACAAACAAAACCATTCGAATATCAAATACATAAATAAGGGCGCGGTACTAAACCTAGCATTGTTAGCGTTAATCCAACTATCTGCCAAGTTCGGTCAACCCAGAGAAATGAAGGCGGTTTCCAAAGCGCGACCAAGCACGCCAAACTCACCCACAGAGGAAACGCTATCGAAAGCGCCTCCCCTGCTCGCACGAGAAAGTCATGGACTCCGCCGGCAGCCGTCAGATCGCCACCGTCTTCGCCGGCAGCAGATAAGGGTTCTCCAGCGGCTCGGAGGGGAGACGGAAGTGACCTTGAGCCACATCTACTGCGATTGGCCATAGCGACATTCGATGCGAAGCGGGAAATCCCATCGGAGGCGGATGCTGAGATGGGCAAGGGATTCAAGGATGAAAGCGAATGTAGTGGAGTGGGATGGATTGGGGAGAAGTTCAATTTACGCGAGGATGATTGGTGTGTTGCCTTTGATGTTTTAGCTCCGGCGAAGAAAGCGGAGGATGACGGCGGTTGGAGGAGATTTGTTGCCGACATGGGAAGTGTCAGAGCGGTGCTGGACTAGCGAGACACGGCCGTCACGTGTCTTGACTCTTAGGGGCTGTTTGGTAGAATTTAGGATTTCATTTAAGAGGATTTCGTAAATCCTCCAAACCCTGGATTTACGAAATCCTGAGGGGTTAAATCCTGAAAATTGTTTGGTAACATTCATGATAAATCCAGTTAAATTCTTTGCGACTGTTTGGCTATTCATTTTAGGATTTAAGGCGGTTAAAAAATTGACATACTTTATTAAGATAATTAAAGCACGACAAAAAAAGTTTAAATAAAATATAACAAAATTTTATTAATACTAATTAATTATTTAATTATTATTTATAATATTTTATAATAATTTTTTTTATTTAAGATCATATTTTAATCCTATTAAAGTATTAATAAGATTTCACGCGTCGCTTCTTCGGCTCCTTCGTCCTTCGTGGCTGTTCGACTTCGCTCCTTCGTCGACTTTCCCTTCCTATCGGATCGGAAGTTACGACGTTTTGATCGGATTCAACAACGGGAGCTCGCTTGCTGTGAAGGTAACTTTCTCCCTTTCGCGCGCTTCTTCGGCCAAATCCCCTAAATCCGCCGAACCAAAGGATTTCGTAAATCCGAGATTTAGAGCCAATCGGCGGAATTTTCCGTCCACGGAGGATTTCGTTTGCCGTGAGATTTGGATTTGCATTTTAGGCCGTTTGGCTGGATTTCGCCCAAATCCGGCCTTATATCCGCCTAAATCCGCATACCAAACAGCCCCTTAATGGAAGAACAAGTAGAATTTTGTATAAGGATAAAGGCGCATGCAGCGGCTTTGGAGGTTTTCCACCCGCTTGAAAAAATTAAGCTATGTAGATATCACTTTATTTTATATTATTTATATATCTAATATTTTAAATTTTAATATTATATATCTATACTCATTTAAAATCTTAATATTAAATATATCACTCTTATATTTCATTCTTATCATCCATATTATCCTATAAATTTTAATATTTCATTCCATACACCCATATTTATTCCATACGTGAAAGACATGTAATATTAAAATTTTAGGTATTAGACATGTAAATTACTTGAAATAAAATGATGTGTATGTAAATCACCCAAAAAATTATTACATGCGAACTTAGAATGACTTTGGAGGCATCCTTAGCCAATCCTCACCTACTGGTTACTGTGCTATATTAGGTGATATATTGCACTCATATTGGGTTTCGTACGCATCGACATCTCGAAGTCTGTACAAAAATAATCTCTCTAGTTATGGCACTAGGCTAGGAGAAATTATTGAATCTTCACGCCAAACGACTCTATTCAAAATTGTCCAAATTAACCCACGAGAAATCATTATACATACTATATATAAGAGTATGCACAAGCTTTGTATAGGTAATATTGTTTATTTTGATTGGAATCCGAATTCAAGCTACGTCCAGACTTTGCATAGAATAATTTCTCCAAGTCTTGAGAGTATGTTGTTCTTTTCTATAAAAAATGGGGATTTACACACATACCATCCAATTTATTATTATTTACACATCTAACATCTTAGATTTATTATTTATTATTATAGCATCCAAAGCTTTTCGACGCCCTCGAAATAAATTAGGAGTCTCAATAAATAACCTGATCGTCAAACCACCTTGAACCCGGGCGAAAAATTCAAGTTCGGATTAAATTATTAAACTGATCAGATTCAGGTTGATCCACCAACTTGATTTTGATCCGAAATTATCTTTTATTTATTTTTTTAATTTTTTTAATATATTGATATGATCGACTTATTTTTATTAATTAATCTAAAATATTTGTTTAAAAAGTTTAAAAAGATATAATTTAACATTTTGATATTTAAATACTTATATTATGTCACTGTTTTCTGATAGCTCAATTTTGATATTATAAAAAAGTTGGGGGAAAAACAAAATAAATTAATATCATTAGAATTAAGGATTCTTTTGGGACTGATTTCTTACTGCTTCTTAAAGTAGTTTTTTAGTATAAAATTTTTAATTTTTAAATTAAAAAAATTGTTTAAAAAAACAATAAAAAAGCCATCCCAAATGAAGCATAAATTAGTCTTTTAACTTTGTTATCCACTTCTTTATTTTAAATATAATCATCTTTGATATCGTGTTATAAAAATAAGTTCATTTGAGTACAAAATTTGTCTAAACACACAAGTCTCATATAGCTTATTTATGTCACCACCGCATTAGGCTTCTTGTTTCTTTATTTATGAAAATATCGCACATACTCTCCCTGTCTCTTCCCCTCCTCCCATAATGACTCACAAATCTCATCATTTCTCTCCAGCTCATTCATTGTGAATTTGTTGAATTTGCACTTCTTTTGCATGCGTCTTAACTTATATATATATATATAGAGAGAGAGAGAGAGAGAGGCACATAATCATTCTTCTTTTTTAGGTGTCATTAGGGGTGCAAAAGAGTCGAGTCGAGCTTGATTGTCAAATACCGAGCTCGAGCTCGAACTCGAGTGGAGCTCAAAAGACGAGCTCGAGCTCGACTCGTTTCACGTCGAGAGGCTTGTCGAGCTCCATCCCGAGTAGGCTAGCAATCGCAACATCCATCGTCCTGAGCAGTGTCGTCGACCTCCGTCGTGCGGAGCTCCAACTCTACCCTCCCGGCCTCCGTTGCCGACCTCCGTATTTGAGCTCGACTCGAGCCGTGACCTCCATAGCACGATCTTCTAGCAGCATCGTTGTCGATAGCAGTCGTGACCTTCTTCATTGTCCTCCCTAGCACCATCGTTGACGATAGCAGTCGCGCCCTTTGTTGTCCTGAGCTATGTTGTCGACCTCCATCCTCACTCGTCCTCGAGCTCCGGCGTCACCCTCTCGGCCTCTGTCGTCGATCTCCGTGCGCTATCATCGCCCTCCCAAGCGGCCTCCAATGAGCATTTGATTCATTTTCATTTTCCCACCCAGCTTCCATGACATTTTCGTTTTCCAGCCCGACCTCAAACGAGATGTTCGACGAGCTGATGAGTCAAGCTCAAGGTATGTTCGAGCTCGAGTTCGATAAGTCGTTGAGCTCGAACAACTCAAATTTGTGTTCGAGCTCAACTTGTCGAGCCTGTTACCGAGTCGAGCTTGAGTCAGCTCGCGAGCCCACTGACTCGGATGCACCCCTACGTGCCATTAATCATTTTTGCAATCCTCGTTTGAAGTCTTAAAGAGCTATTAACAAAACATAATAAGAGTTTTATTTTGCAAATGATCAATTTTAACATATTTGTTTGTTAGTGTTAGAAAAGTTCGACATAATTGGATGAAAACAGCGAGAGGTCAAGATACTTTCCGATTTTTGGAGCTAGGGGTGTCAATTTTTGACACGACGCGCTGCCGCCGCGCGCTACCGCCGTCGCGGTTCCGGGTCGTGTCGGGTCAACCCGCCGGCAACCCGCCGGGTCGGGTCCGGGTTCGGATTTTCGACCCGTTTCTCTACCCGGGTCGGATTAGGGTTGACCCGTTTTCCACCCGGGTCAGTTCGGGTTCAACCCAAACCCGTCCCGTGACCCGAAATTGACATCCCTATTTGGAGCGACAAATTGCATGAAAAAAAGATTCGTTGGGAGTAAAAAGTTAAATTTATTGGGGCAAATTACAAATAACCCTTACTATAGTAAGAGTTTTAATTTTTTTGGTAGGCAATTGTCCCCTCTCACCATTACACATATTTTAGAATATTTAAAGAGTTTAATTTTCTTTTCTATCATAAATTTAAATTTCTTTTAAGAAAGCCAAAACAATATGTGATTTAGTGAGGTTTAATCATTATTATTTAAAATAATTATCATATTTTAATGCTCTAAAAATTTATTAAATATGATTATAAAGGATTATGAGTTAAATGATCTTTTAGCCCGACAGGCTAAAAAATTTGCGAAACGGTCTACGGCAAGTTTTCTTTCGCGGCGGCCATGTCACAACGCGCGCTGGGGAAGCAGCCGCGATCGTAGATGACGGCAGCATAAGAGGAGCGGCCTGGGGAGGAGATGGTCTCCGGCGATGCTGCCAAAGAGTACGTGGCGGGCTTTGCCGCCGGAATCGCCATGGTCATCACCGGTCATCCCTTCGACACCGTTAAGGTCAGCTCTCTTACCCACATTCTGAAGCCTAATAATCTACATTTGATGATCGTCTCACATTATGATATCAAATCTAAGTTGGATTCCTTCGCTTCGTGTTGACTTGGATCGAGGCTCTGGGGATCTGTACATTGATTCTGTTAGGATAATTATTAGTTAGTAGGCCTTTTTTGGTCTTGTTTGTTCATGATAGTTAATACTTACTATGCGTTTAATCAATCATTGTATTCTATAAATACTCCCTCTTATGATGAATTAGGGCAAGCAAATGAATGGATACAGCTATGGCTGCTCTCTCACTCTTCCCCAATGAATTTCTGGAGTTACGGGCTCCCTCTAACTACCCTTCAGTCCGTCTTAACTGGAGTTTTAGGCAAACTCGAAGTTGCTTAGTTATCTTCTCTTTTCGTTGTTAGGTTTGTAACAATGCAAGTGGCACTTAGCTGTCTAGCTACGCTTTTGGACGCTGCGCAAGAAACAATGGAGGTGCCAACCAACCATCCATCTAACAAAAAATCTTCAAACAAATCCTCATGCATTAGAACAGAAAAGAAGTTGCAAAGGTGATTGTTGATCATAGAGCATTTGATTAACTTAGTTAGTGCATCAAGCGAATGAAGGGTGGAGGATTGCACATACATTTCATCAAACTCGTTAATCAACATCACATCAATGGCTGTTCTTAACTATCTAGCACTTTGACGTCCAAATTAGTGATCTAGGTGTTATTAATAATATGGGAATTCTCGTTGGGTCGGGCATGAACTTCATCAAGATGAGACACTGTAACCTTCGTCATTTCATCCATTGAGGATGCTTGAGCTCTAGTGGAATTTACCTATCTAGGATTCTTGTTGAATGATGAACCATGGATCTAGAGTCTGTAGATACTGTCAGCATTTTGTGTTGAACCTTATGTCAAAGTGAGCTTCAAGCTTTGTCAATTACACTTTAAAATCTTTCATGATATCAAGGAAAGATGCTATTTTATCTTCCTGATTGTTGAGCCTAGCCGAACAATCCTCATTCAAATCAATGTCTTCCATAAATTGTTGCTTAAAGCTCTATTGTTGGTGCACACTGAGGAGTTGTTGCTGCAATAATCAGCAACATAAATAAATTTGTTGCAAGGGAGAATTGCCAAAATATCCACAAAAGCGACTAAATTAAAATCTAAAGGTAATGGCAACCTACCTCGAGATGAATAATTTTTGTAGTTGGCCTGTCGGGCTAAATCAGCTCTTCGACTTTCAAATTTCACTATATTTCTCTAAATTCTCTCCCCCTCTCTCTCTCTAATCAACTACCCAAATGAGAATAAATGAATTTTAGAAATGGATTGGATATTTATCGACCTAGCATTGTGATGCTAGAGTTGAGCTGTTAATTCTCTTAACTTCATGCGAGTATAATTTCGTATGGCAGTTTGTATGGCTACATACAATGCTTTTAAAAGCAGACCGGACCGGCCGGTTCAACCGGGTGAACCGCTAACCGGCCGGCCGGCCGGTTACGGTTCATGCTAAAACCAATTTCGCACAAAACTGGTATTGAACCGCTCGAACCGGCGGTTCGACCGTCCAACCGTCGAACCGGTCCCGGTTTCTGATAACCGGCCCACCGTATAATTCATTCGGATCAAAGCTTTGCCACGCCATGACGCCAGAGTTGTTGAGCAAAAGGTTGCCGCTGTAGACGGAGAAGTTCGCCGGCGCCATGTCGTCGTCTCTGCGCCATGAGGTGAACGCCTGGTTTACTTTGGTGATGAGGTAGAGCTCGACCTTCATGCCGGGGAGGTAGGTATCACACGGGTGATCAAAACTCTGCCACGCCATGATGCCAGAGTTGTTGATTAAGCTCAAATTTGAGTTGTGGGAAGGTCGGGAGGGGTTGAGGCGAGACGGGCGCCGGTGGCATGGGTGGGCAGCCGCTTTGGAAGGGGTGCGTGCGTAGACAGTGAGGGAGTAGCCGACGGCGAGGATACGAATGGCCATGGGGGCCCCCATCAAAGATGAGTTGCGGGAGAAAAGATATCGAGCTCAAAGATGCCGACCAAGGTTGCGCGCCTCAGTTAACTTGAGGCGTAAGCCTCATAAACTAAACTTATTGCGTAGGCTTTGAGGCTTAATTGGTCGAAAATGCGCTGAGGCGCGCCTCAAGGCGCGCCTTTTATTGCGCAATTTTAAACGTTGATGCCGACGTAGGAGACGAGAGTGGCGGAGGATGAAAGCTGAGAAGATGTCGGAGAAAGCTTTTGTTGCTGGGAGGAAAAAGACGAATAGTGGCATGGACAGAACTCCACAACTACCTTTCTACTTTTTTTTTTTATAAATTTTTTGTTTATCTTATATTAGAATAGTCAAAACACTATCTCAAATGATATTGCCAATTATATACTTGTAGATTTTAGATCTTCTGATAGAATTAAATATCGGGTTATTTTTTAAATATAATAAATATTTATTACGTCATCCGGTTCAACCCTGATTCGACCCCGTTCGAACCATCGAACCGCTAAAATCTTCTTTTTCTGGTTCATTGTCCGGTCCGGTTTTCAAAGCCTTGGCTACATAGGATTAGTGCTTGCTTATGTTGTGTGTAGCTTAATAGGTTGCTACCTTTGTCTATAAATATGTGGCAATGCTTGTAATAGGAAGAAGACATGAATAATATTTGAGTTTTACTCTATTGTTTTGGGTTTCTGTATCCTAAAGGATTTCAGGTGGTGATCCCCTCCTAAGGATTTCTTGGGTTATGCGTGGGCTGCGAGTTCCTACAGCTCGCGTATTATATTCATCACCGCTTCATCCCCCCCTTTGCCGGCGTCATTTGGTGGTGAAGATAAGAACCTGGCGCAGAAGCTTTGAAGGTGATCCAACAGTCGCCAAACATCCAAGAAGCGTGGTGGTTGCAGTTCTTCATCCACAGCGCCGTCAGCCAACTTCTCTTTGTCCTGATGTGTTTCTTTGTTCTTGTGTGCGCACTTCAAGACAACAATTAGAAGCTGGATTCCTGCTGCTGTCCGGTTTTCAAACCCATCCAAGAAAGGCTTCTACCAGTCCGTAGATTCCACGGTGGCGAATCAGCTCCGACATCAAACCGTAAGCAGCTCTTGTGTGCAAACTTCAAGACATCAATTAGAAGTTGGATTCTTGCTGCTGTCCGGTTTTCAAACCCATCCAAGAAAGGCTTCTACCAGTTTGTAGATTCCACGGTGGCGAATCAGCTTCGACATCAAACCGCAAGCAAGCACTAAGAACTCCTTGCAGCATGATGATGCCGCCTCAGGTGGATCGATCCTACCCTATTCTAGCAAGAACCGTCATCATTTGGTGGTGAAGAGAGCCAGAACAATTTGAAAGTAGGTCTCCTTAGACAAACTGGAGGCATTTGTTCCTACCTCCAAGAACTTGGTCTTCTTTAGCTCTGCGGTGGCGAATCAACCTCATTTTGTTCCTGTAGTTTATCTATAGGTTTTTGAGTTCCCACAGCAACCGAAGAACATTTCTTGTTCTTCCAGTGACCATTCTTGCCTTTTCCCCTGCTCTAGATTAATATTTATTCTTGAAGAACAAAACAAGATGCCTTCTTGATAGACATTGCACGGATCACGTCAAGAAGAAGAAATCGAAGATCTTCTACAAGAAGTTGCCCGACTCAAACTATGATTGTCAAGGATTGAATGAAGGAAAAACTTGAGCCTCCTTGGCCGGGACTTTAATGGTGTCTGGGGCAAGTATACTGCCACGAAGACTTCAAGATCTCTCATTCAAACTAAATCCTTTCTAATCGATGACGACGACGAGAGCATCTCAAATGATCATATCTCTTCTACCCACAAAGATGTGTTTGAAGAGCCACCTCGTCAGTCTTCCACCAAACCCTCGATCAAGTTCAGCTTCGAAGGATTTGAAGATCGGTTGCCGAAATCGTCATCTATGCCTCTCTATGATGAGCCCGTGTATGACGTGTATGATGACGACATGTTCGGTGGAGTTCTTGATCTTGAGCAACCTGCATATGATGTTAATGACGGTAGCAAGATGGAAGGCCAACATAACATCAATGATGGTCAGTTGAAGTTGGAAGAAGGCTTGCTTTCCAAGGTAATGCTTGAAAACAATAAATGTTATCTATTGGATTGTGGTGCTGATATTCATGTTTTGGGTTGGTCGATTTACACAATTGGAGGAGAGGAAAGCCGCTTGCAAAGCTGCTAAGGAACTTATTAGTAATGAGAACCGGCCAAAGGCAACCCGGATTAGCCAAATGATTCAGCGATATGAGACACATTCATTTAAGTCTAACTTTGAATCTCGGCCTTTAGGCACTGGTACATGAATTTCTGGTGGGGAGGAAGGAAGAGGAAAGGTTGCAGCTCTGTTGAAGCAACAGGGTGTTGATGTGAAGGGAAGCACAAAAAATTCTCCTATGAATGAGGAGGTTCCACCTTTGCTTGTAGGTGGCGAAAAAGTTGAGGTCTGGTGCATCAAGGGTAGTGCGAAGACACCAATTCTGCAAGAAGATGTTGGTGAATTCTTCAGTGGTGATTGTTATATCATACTTTATACATATCATTCTGGTGAGAAAAAGGAGGATTGCTTCCTAGCCTATTGGATTGGAAATGAAAGCATTCAGGATGATCCTATGATGGTTGCTCGATTGGCCATACAATGTGGACTTCCATAAAAGGCAGACCTGTTCATGGTCGCCTTTTTCAAGGGAAGGAGCCACCACAATTTATTGCACTCTTTCAGCCCATGGTTGTTTTGAAGGGTGGTTTGAGCACAGGCTACAAGAAGTCAGTGAAAGACCATAATGTTAAAGATGAAACCTATGTCTCTGATGGAATTGCATTAATTCGTGTCTGGTACTTCAGTTCATAATAATAAAGCAGTTTAGGTTGATGCAGTTGCGGTATCTTTAAATTCCTATGAGTGCTTTCTTCTGCAATATGGAAATACACCCTTTATATGGCAAGGAACATCAGGCACGTTTGAGCAACATCAGTGGGCCACAAATATTGCAGAATTATTGAAACCTGGGGCCGGATTTAAACATACAAAGGAGGGAACAGAGAGCTCTACTTTTTGGTTCGCTCTTGGAGGAAAACAAAGTTTCTCCAGCAATAAAGTTACAATAGATATTGTTAGAGATCCCCATTTTTCCACTTTCTCCTTCAGCAAGGAAAAAATTGAGGTCACTGAAGTTTTCAACTTTGTGCAAGATGATATGCTAAGTGAGGATACATTGAAGTCTCTCCTAGACAGGGAGAATGACACCGGGTGGAAATATCTCGACTGGTTTAGCCAATCAAACCCGCCTCCTTATTGTGGCCAACCAGACATCTTACTACGAGCCTGAAGTTTCTCATATCCCGATAGAATGATGTTGGAGCTGAGCTGTTAATTCTCTTAACTTCAGGCGAGTTTAATTTCGTATGACAATTGTATGGCTGCATAAGATTAGTACTTGCTTATGTTGTGTGTAGCCTATGATGCACCGACACAGAAACGGCGACACGGACACGACACGACACGGAAACGACAATTTTTAAAAATATAGGACACGGGTGCGGCGTGAACATGGCATAATAAATTTTTAATATAATATATAGAAATTAAGGTGAAATTATAGTAAAAATGACAAGCAATCAACTGCGACGTAGTAATCTTAGGACACATTTTTATTCCATGGCCAGAAATTTTAAGTAGATGTGTCTTCACCCTAGAATAAGATCCTTTGTAGGTGCCACCATAATAATTGCATTTGAATGACACATCCCCTCCTTCAAATGTTTTTCCTAACTTTATAACATGAATTCATAACGGCTTATCAGTTTCTACAGATGGCTCTTTTGAACATTCACCTAATCAACTTCCGCCAGCAGCAGAGCTCATTTTGCTAACAAACCAATCATACATATGAATACATCAAATTAAATTGATATGAAGTGAAATCAAAATATACCAATAATAAGACAATATGAATACAACAATATACCGGTCTGCCGGGGGTCCAAGGGGGCGCTGCCCCCTGCCGGGGTTTGACAACATGAATACAACAATATACCCGGTCTGCCGGAACAAAATTTTATTGTAAAAGTAATTTTGAATTTCTGCTTGTTTTTAAAGTTCGTAAGTTTTTGTATGGGAAGATACCGAGTGGACCGAGCATGTACCTAGCAGTACCGAGCATGTACCTAGTGGTATCGAGCATGTACCTAGCAGTACTGAGCATGTACCTAGTGGTATCGAGCATATATTGAGCAGTACCAAGCATGTACTGAGCGGTACCGAGCATGTACTGAGCGGTACCGAGCATGTACTTAGCGGTACCAAGCATGTACCTAGCGATACCTCATTTAATAACTGGACACGTGTGTCCGATTTTAATTTTAATTTTTTAAATTGCGACACTCCAATGCCGTGTCAGACACATGTCCATGCCGTGTCCGACGCGTGTCCGACACTGCATACCCTATTTAAGCAGAGTGTCGGTGCATCATAGTGTGTAGCCTAATAAGTTGCTACCTTTTTCTTTAAATATGCATCAATTGTTGTAATAGGAAGAAGACATGAGTAATATTTGAGTTTTACTCTATTGTTTTGGATTTCTGTATCCTGAAAGGTTTCAGGTGGTGATCCCCTCCCAAGGAGTTATTGGGTTATGTGTGGGCTGCGAGTTCCTGTAGCTCGCGTATTGTATTCGTCGCCACATCATCACCCTCCTTAGCCGACGTCACATTGCAATGTTATCTTCAGAACGTTGCAGTGCCCCCAAGAAAAGATTTTGGGTATTCACACAGAAAGTTTGGCATCGCATTGCCCCTAACCAACGCCATGGCGCTACATTCTAGTACACAGTGGTGCAACGCTCACTTTCCAGCATTGCAATGCCTCTAAACAGAGAAGATAGAGCTATAGTGCCATTAACATAGCGCTGCAGCACCCTATGGAGAAAATTTAGAAATGTATGAAAATTTTCATAAATACTAATTAAACACATAAATTCTTGGTCGGTCCAAATCAAATCATTACATGTTTTATTTAAAATTGAGCAATTTGAGTCCGCCTTGAGGCGTGCCTCAGCGTAATTCAATTGCAAAATGTATTGGGGCGCATGCCTCATGCTTGTGTTTTGAGGCGTATGCCTTAGTCTGGTTGAAGCGCGCCTCACCTCACAAGTGTGAGGCTTATGCTTCATATATGTCCTTTTTTAATTATAAATATATAAAAATAGCTAGTTTTTAAACCTAATCTAAACACCTGCACCTACACACGGAGCCTCATACTCGGGCCATAGCTCCCATCCTCGACGTCCAACCGTAAGTTCCCTACCACTAGCCAGTTGTTGCAGTTGTTGGGGATCACTTGTGGACAGTCTCTGTTGCAACTGCCTTCTCCTTCTCCTATTACATAATATATTTTATGTTGTTTGAATTTCAATTCTATTTCACACAATTTATTACTTATCACTCCACGTCTTGTGCAGTTTTTTTTTTATATATTTATGTCAAATTGTTATTTCATAGTTCAATAGAAAGTTAATATGTCACCCTTTAATATATTATTTTGTTATTTTATAAAAATTACTTTTAACCTTCATTTTTTAATTTACGCAATTTTTGGATTTTGAAGCTTATGTTTCAAAACGCCTTTAGACTTACGCCTTGCCCCACGAACTAAAAATACCTCAATACCCAATTGCGCCAATGTTTAAAATTGCGTATTCGGGTATTGAGGAGTTTTTCATTCGTGAGGCGAGGCGTAAGCCTCAAAATCAAAAGATTGCGTAAATATAAAATGATAAATTTTTCAACTGATCGATTCAACTATAAGCATGTCATATTTGAATATAATTTAATCATCTAATTAATGATTTAAAGCTTCCAAATAGGCTTTGGTCTTTTGATTTGAATCCATTTGGGCTCAGATTGGATTGAATTTGGAGTTGTTGGGTTTGTCTTCTTGAGATGTTCAATTTAACTATAAACTTACTTAAATCGGAGTTCTGATGTTCCTGATTTTAATTTTTAAAACTCCCGATTCACATTTGCATTGAAATTCGTGCCCAGACAAAAACATATATATATATATATATATATATATATGGTTTTGTCAAATAACCTGCACCTAGAAGGTAAATACCAACATAAGAAAATCCAATTATTTTTTATAGAGTCGTCACCCTATAGGCCTGTCGGCCTGATTACGAATATCCAATATAGTTCTAATGATCTCATACTATTGTACACATGCATACTATTTTCATATTTTTCATAAGCAAGTTTTTAACATTTATTATATAGTCGATATGAGAATTGTGAATTCTATAACTAATATGATTTGTAGAAATATCATTTATTGCATTTAATAGAACTTATGTGTATGAACTAGAGTTGTTTGTGCTGCTTCACTAGTTCGGCCTCACCTCGCCCACTCACTCGCTCGTTTAATTATCTTACTAGACTTATTCGGCTAGATCGATCTAACCGGCCTTCATAGTTTTGAATCGTACACTTATATATTGCTAAATGCATAGATATTATTATTCTTTATAGGTATTAACATTGTTTGAGCCTTTGACATTGCAAAGTTGGATTATTGTTAGCCATGCTTACCAATTTTATGTAAAAATAGAGCTTTTCAATTTATTCAACGAAATAAGTAAGTTTACCAAACATTGTTGTTGATGATCATGGAGAAAATTGTTTTCGTAGATGAGTTAGGGTGATATTGAAGTTTTTTAGGACATTTAATGGGTGGAAATTTAGTATGTAGAGACTAACCTTGAGCAACTTTCTTTACAATGGTCAAAAAGTTCTTGAATGACAGCTACTGTCCACCGCATCATGAGCGAATTATTGGTTCTTATATTGGCTGGCCCAAAGATCTTGTTTGACGCGTTTTAGTTTAGTTTAGCATAGAAATTGAGGTTTGCTGATACTGAGATTAGGGAAAGCTGTCTGATAAGCATATGAGGGTTCACTTGCACCATAATATTGTTCCAATGATTGTGCTTTAGGGGCAAGCTGTTTTACTATTATAGATTTTGAGGATGATGATTACTTCTAAAATTGATATGAACGTAAATATGCAGGCATAAACTTATCTGGGTTCCTTTGTTGATTGCTCCACACCTGTTTTTATGTCTATCAGCTTTAAATAGTTCCACAGTTCATATTTCATAAACTAATATCATAGATTAACTTCATGCAGGTGAAGTTGCAAGCTCACAACACTAAAACACAAGTAAAGGAGTACAGGAATGCTTTACACTGTACAAGCCGGATAATAAGCACTGAAGGGGTATGCTTTTGCTCTCATTTGTTTTTTCTTGAAAAAATAATTTTCGAAAGATCTTATTTTCTTATGATTTAGAGTTTGTGATATCTGAACTGCTATCATTGCTCTTGAACTTTTCTAAGAAGCATTGCGAAAGTGTAAGTACTCTATAACAACACAGAAATGCAAAATCACTTAAAAGAATACTTAAAGCTAGGTTTTAAGAAAGTGACTAATTAAGTTCATAACAACAAAAGTAGACTATTGTTTTAATGAAACACATGAGATAGATTTTAATGAAATTGCAACTTTGAGCTTGGAAGCTATTTCCTTTTGAGAAATCTTACATATTTATTGTTTCAATTCTCTTTTTTTGCACAAATTTCATGAAACATGTTTTTATTCTCTGTGGCATCTTCTCTGCTTCATAAAATGGTGTTACAACCAGGATCGTTGCATGAACTTGTTTGAACATGCTGGTCTGACAAACAATGTTGCTTTTAATTTTTTATCACTTTAATAAACTAAGGTTTTGTTTTGCTTCTTAAAGCAGCTTTTTAGTACAAAAGTTAAAATTTTTGTACTAAGAAGTTGCTTTACGAAGCAGTAAAAAAGCCGTCCCAAATGAAGCCTCAGCGCCGGACACACCAGTACTTTAGGAATATGTGATGAGATTTCAATATCAAAATGGGCATAAGCCGGATAAGGTTGGGAGTAGGGCTAGCAATTTGCTTGAAACTACCTCAAATGTTAAGTCAATTCAAAATTGATTTGAAATATTTCAAGTTGTGTCAGAATTCCAAATTTGGTGTAATTTCTAAATGACTTCGAGCATAGGATGGCTTGCTAGTAATAAGACTACTCAACTTGATGTGTGTGTGCGTATATATATATATATATATTGCTTGTTATATTGATCATTGGTCTTGATTTGGTTGAAAAAGGTTTCAACTTCCAGTTTTGCTGTTAACATTTTTTTTTATGTTTTAAAAATTTTGGATTTTGAGCCATCTCTATTTAACTTCAAGTTGGCTTGAATCAAATCATCTATAGCAGAGATGACTTGACTTGAAATGTATTTTGATTTTGTGTCAGGTTTGAGTTGAGCTAAACTCAAATATTTTGAATTTTAGACAAAGTCAACTTGCTTGAATTAAACTGCAAGCCACTCTTAGTTGGGAGAATTAGATTTGCATGATTAACCAATATTTGGAGTGCTTAATGTCGGCATATGACCATTTTCTCTACAGCATATATGTGTTATTAGACAATTATTTCCCAAGTTCATATATTTAAATTTTATAATATTATTGTTGTAATTTAGATTTGTTATGAAAATTAATTCATACACTTTTCTAAGGTTTCGTATGCGCGTCCTTTTTTTTTTCTTGTTTACTTCATAAAACTGAACCAGGAGAGGGAACATTGTTAATGCAAAGTTAAGGATGATAAATGTGAAAATGTTAGGCAGAAGATGGAGCTGGCTCTAATTGACTTCCAGAGTTCCAGTTGGCTTTAATCAAATCATATGTAGCAGAGATGACTTGATTTGAAATGTATTTTGAATTTAGGTTGAGTTTGAGTTAAGCTAAACTCAAATATTTGAATTTGAAAAATTTCGATTCACATGAACTCAACTTGAAGCCACTCCTAGTTGGGAGAAATTGATTTGCATGATAAATGAATATTTAGAGTGCTTAATATTGACAAATGACATATGACCAATATCCCTACAGCATACATTTGCTATATGGCAATTTTTCCAAATTACATATATTTAAATTTTATGATATTATTGTTGTAATTTAAATTGTTTGTTATTGATGAGAATTACAGCCTTTGTATGTTTTCAACTTGAGTGTAAAAAAAAACAAAAACTTGACTACACAAAGAAGACGTTTCAGAGTAATTGGATTTTGGTTGCATCCCCAGTTTGACTAATAAGTACCATGAGGATAAACATACACAAACTATGCTTAGCAAGAAATTTGTGTTCCTCTCTATTGATATCTGATGAAATTATTTGTTTACATAATGAACCTATGTGCACTTTGTTGACGTAGAATTAATGAATTTTCTTGGCTAATTTCAACAATGTTAGCATTCAATCTTTTATTTTATAACTTTGACAGGTAAAAGGACTGTATAGAGGCGCAACATCTTCGTTCATTGGAATAGCACTTGAGAGCTCCCTTTTTTTTGGCATTTACTCCCAAACAAAGCAGCTTTTACAGGTTCCAATGAAATACCACTAAAACATTGTATCACCGTCCCTCTCTATCCATCTCTCTTTTCTTTGTTTTTTCTTAGTAAAAAGCTGGGCCAAAATCCGTTCTCATTAATGAAGATTAAAGTAACTGTACAAGAGGGGATTGCAATATCTAAAAAATACACAAAAACCTGTTGGGGAAAAAAAAAGAGAGAAAGAAAGAAGATACTCATTTAATAATAAGATCCTTTGCATAGTAGTCTTTGCTTCTTTCTGCTTGCAAAATAATATCTAGAAATAAGCAAGAAAGTTGATATTATTTCACGTGGCTTCATATTTTTCCTTATCTTGTAATAATTTCATGTTTTCTTTTATCTCTGGATACTCTCATGTATCTTTCTTTCCAAATATTCCATGAAGTTGAGAGAAAAAAAAAATCCAAAAATGCTTATATGTTAGCGGATGAAACATTTCTACAAGAGGTAAAGAATGACGTGAATCAATTATGCATTATTAATGTTTGGGATTTGAAAGAGGGATTGAATACTTTTGATAGAGAAGATCTTACCACATTAAGAAACGATCGATCCTTAATACTTATATTGTATTTAGCTGATTTACCTGACTATGTTGATATCCTCATATCCTCAATAAAACTTAAAATTTTGTTTACCATATTTTCTTTCAGGGAGAATCCCAGATCAGTAAGCCACAACTCCAGGTGATTATACCTTCTGGTGCATTTGTTGGGGCAGTAATCAGCTTGATACTTGGTCCTTCGGAACTCGTAAAGGTATGTTTTATCTTAACCATAGTTCCCTATTAAGCTCCATTCTCCTCTCCTATAATATTTAAATCTTTCTCGCCTTCTGACATAATGCCAATATATTTTTTTCCAGTGTAGAATGCAAGTACAGGGAAAGGATTCAGCTCTTTCCAGCTACGTCAGATACAATAGTCCTCTAGATTGTGCTATAAAAACCATCAAGAATGAAGGGGTGAGTTAATGCCGACATTTTGGCTTCGTTTGAGACGGCTTTTTTATTGCTTCTTAAAGCACATTTTTAGTAAAAAATTAAAATTTTTATACTAAAAAGCTGCTTTAAGAAACAACAAGAAAGTCGTCCCGAACGAATCTTTTATCACCTGATTATCACTGACAAACAAATGTAAACGATTAAATCCTTTAGATCAAAGGCATGTTTCGTGGAGGGCTCACAACTTTACTACGTGAATCAATCGGAAATGCGGTCTTCTTCACCACTTATGAGTCCAGTCGCTATTACATGCATTCTAACCTGAATCATCCCCAAGGACAAGCTTCAAAACTCTTACAGGATGCTGGAATTGGCATCATAACTGGAGGAATATCTGGAATGGCTGTACGTATTCACTTTGTGGTTGCTTTCCATGTAATAAATCTAATGTGTTCCTTGATGATCATGTTCTCACTTGCTAGTTCTGGGCCACCGTTCTGCCATTGGATGTTGCAAAAACTGTGATTCAAACAAATCCTGATGCGAAATCTAGCCGCAATCCCATGCTGACATTGTACTCGGTATCTAATTTAGAGATTCATGAAACTTAGCCTTTGTTTCGGACAGCTTTCTTACTGCTTCTTAAAACAACTTTCTAATAAAAAAATAAAAAATTTTGTATTAAAAAGCTATTTTAAGAAGCAACAAGAAAGTTTTCCCAAACGAGAGAGATTATTCTGTGCGGACGCCAAACACAGCTTACCGTCCAGAGGCGAATCAGGTGCAGCCACGTCATCCAGTACCGAGCCGCGGTACCGAGTAGGGGGTGACGTGGTGCATTTTTATTGGGCTCTGAACAATGTTCGATGTCCTCCGCACAGAATATGTCCTCCGCACAGAATAATTTGCCCCCAAACAAAACCTTAAATGTTTATGCTTTGTTGGTCATGGAAGCTTGACTTTTGTTCTACAATTTTAGATTTACAGGAGGTTTGGTTTACGAGGATGTTATGCTGGTCTTGGACCAACTTTGGCCAGAGCATTTCCTGCAAATGCTGCTGCAATCGTTACCTTAGAACTTATCGCAAAGATGCTTGGTGTCAAGCGCGACTGATCATGGGGGTATATTGTGAGTAAGTTGATTTATAGTTCGTTTTAATCTTTATCTAATTTTTTGCAGAAGCTATCATTCAAAATGCTTCTTGCTAATTAATGTTTGTTAGATATTGCTTTTACCGATTATTACAGTTGTAAATAACCCATATTTTGATCTACAACAATTAAATGTTATTACATGAATTATAATAAGTTCAATTTATAAATCGTCTTTATCATAACATTGATATTATTGTGTTTTAATTATAATAATCTTTCTCTAATTTTATGGGCATTATATATATGAAAAAAATGAGTTTCATATTCATTTTTAATTCCCTAAGAAATGAATACATATCAGTACAAGTAAGTTTTTTGGAATCGTTAGATATCCGCTTTTTCAATCGATTTCATTAGAGCTTTCTAGACATGATGGGTTATTTTTTGGATCCTTGAATTTGAAGATATAAAAGGGTTTATAAAGATTTATGATTTAAAACTAAATAATTGATATAATTATATTTATGTGCTTAGTTTATTTTATTATAAAAATTTAAATCCACTTAACAAAACTTATCAAATGCCTATTTTTTCATCAATTTGTTTTAACGAAGAAAGAGAAGAGGGAAAATAAGAAGAAAAAAAAGAGAGATGAGAGAGAAATTAGAGTTTGGGGGTCTTAGAGCTATTTTGGTTGGTAGGTCAAGTTGAGAAAATTACTCATATCAAAATAGGCTATCGTTATCTTACGTCATTTCAATAATTTTGATTATTTTGTATTTTATGAATTTTAACTTAATCAGAATTTACAAAAGTTATAATATCTTAATTTTTATCAAACTTCTATCTTGTAATCTTTTATATGTTATAATTTTAATCATTATATATATATATATAATTTTACTGGATGAATTGATAATTTTGATTTTTTTTAACACATTTTATGATTATTTTTTTTTTTTTTTTTTTTGGTTTGGGTGCATCTACTAGTTGCCACCCCCTTGGCGGCGTAACTAATCCCTTGACAAGCCAACAAGTAACCAGACCCATGGTGTAGGACCCGCAGTTATTTTCTCCTGACTTAAGGGGTCGCGTAGCATGAGAGAGTAATCGAACATGAGTTGGGAGGTTCCCAATCATACTCGTCCACCAACGCAACTAAGCCTAGTGGGGTATTATTATTTTTACTTCACTTTGATATCTAAATTTTATAAAAAATATATATTTGAAAATATATTTTTTATTTTAAATAAAATATTAATGATATTTTTTATACAATTTATTTATTTATTAAATAAAAAAATAAATTAATATTATATATATCAATAGATAAAAATATTGTGATATATATGGATTTCTTCTAGGGCTATTTGACACATTGAAAAAAGAATTGTAATGAACTAATACAGTATATTTGAAATGTATGAAATTATTTGGATGCGTGTAAAAAGATTATAGGAGATTATTATTATAACTTTATTTGGTTATATATAAAATGAATGAAATATAAAGTAAAATGATGATTGATGGCTTATACAACAGCAACAAGCAGGCAGAAGACGTCCTAAGATGGTTGACCACTTGCTAGTAGGCGGCGACAACACAATTTGCTTATGGTAAAAATGAATTCGATCAAAATTGATTGAGTTTATAATAAATTAAAAATAAATTAAATTCTTGGAATTTTATACTGCCTTTTTTTAAAAAATTAAACCACAAATTCTATTTTACACTGTATTTTTTTAGCAAATTAAATAGCCCCTTAATCTAATATTGCGAAGATTATAAGAAAATAATTTACACAAATATAATGCTTATTTTCTAATTGTCTTTACTAACCGTCCAATGTCCATCATTCAAAATATTAAAGAAATTTTTACATACATAACCTTTAAAACTATTGAAAATACATATTTAACACCTAAACTTCTATATTTACCAATATACCATCTAAATCGCCATTTCATTCTATTCTACTACTCCATCGAAGCTATGAGATACTTGAAAGTATGCCATTGACGAAGAAGACAGTCCCTCAAAGTGATTTTTGACAGAAGGTTTAAACGGAATGTTAGAATTGATTCAAAGAGGAGTTTAAGGTGGTATACTAGTAAATATAGAAGTTTAACTATTAAATATATATTGACGTTATGAATGTAAAAATCTCAATATTAAAACAATCAAATTCACAACTCCAAAGTTGCCTTTACTAGTTCATCTTTAGTCTGTATTATGAAGTATTTTTTACTGATGCTTAATTTGACGGACGATACAGGATCCACAACTTAAACATTACTTGAATTTTGTAGGTTTCGGTCGGATTCGGATCAGCCAGCTTAAATCACCTGAAGAAAATAGGCTTGATACGTCACCAAAAATTGCATGGCACGAATCTTGAGGCAAGCCCAAGTTGAAAACTTATAAATTAAAATTTAGGATCAAAAAGACGAATCCAACGACACTAAATTCAGTTCAATCTGAGCCCAAATGAGCCTAAATTAAAGGACTAAAACCCCTTTGAAAGCTTCAAAATATTAATTGGATAACCAAACAATATTCAAATATGACATGCTTATAGTCCAATTGAGCGGCTCGACGAGACGAATCCAAGGAGCCCAAGATCGCTGAATTTTGACATATCTAAGGAATTTAAATGCTTTATGATCATTATGAGCCGTCCGATAGAACACTCCCAACATGCCTTTGATTTTCTCCATATTTACTAGCCATGCTACTCCGAAAAAAAAAAAAAAAAAAAAAAACCCCCATTCTTCACATGAAAAGGAGAGGAAGAGGACAGAAAGCTAGAGAGTTCTCTTGCATTCTTCATCTAATACTGGAGTTCTTCTCGACCATCGATCGTGGCCAGACTTTTGCTTGTTCTCCGACTATCACCAGAACTCTTCCCAGATGCTACCGATGTTGAATCTCCTCCCAAATATTGTCACCCGTTGACGACGATCTTTTTGATCACCATCAACCGATTATGATCCTTTTGATCTCTGTTGCTTGACTATAATCCTTCCTACCTCTATTGCTTGACTACGATCCTTCCGACCACCGTCGCCCGACTACATTCTTTCCGACCACTGTTACCTGGCTACGATCCTTTGGACCACTATCGTTCGACTACCGTCATTCTGACCATCGTCATCCGATTACGATCCTTCTGACCACCGCCGCCTATCAACTACGGTCATTCCGACCACTATCGTCCGACTATGGTTCTTCCGACCTCCGTCGCCCGCTGACTTTGAGCCCTCCGACCATCGTCGCCTAATTACGATCCTTCCAACATCTGTCACTTATTGGCTATAGTCTTTCTGGCCATCATCATACAATTATAGACCTGCCAACCAAATGAACAGAACAACATTCTCTTGAGAACAACTATCGTGTCATTCTCCAACTATGTAATGTGTTCTATACAATGTGTATTTGCTATATTGAGCCAGCAACCTCTTTGAAGAGAGATATTCAACCATCAATGCTAGTTGATTCATTCAAACTAGATCAGGCCCCATGGTTTTTTTCCTTTCCAAGCTTTTTCACACAAAAATCTTGGGGTCTCTTATGAATGCTACAAACATATCTCTTATCTGTTTGTGTGTTGGATCTTGCTACAAAACTTGGACACTAAATTTTATATCCGCCGCAAATTTTTTTAGGACGCAACAAGGCTCAAGTTAGGTCTGTGTTCGGATCAACCTGAAAGTAAGGAATTAACCCATCTGATTCTTCTTTTTTATTTGTAATTTCTCTGATTTGGAGATTAGAACACTTTCTATATTAAGTGCTCTTCGGTTCTTCAAATGTCAATTGGCAGCCCAATTCAATGCCACCTGCATTAATAATGCAGAGTTTGATGCGTCTGCTTCCTATTACATCATCTGGATTAAGAAAGTATCTTCATTTAAATGAAAATTACGGCATACAGCTTCCATATGTTGCCACCTGGAATACTAAACATTTCAGCCTGATAGCAGCAATGAAGGGTAGGTTTAAAGCAGATAGTAAAGATAAAAAAAATGGCATTAGTTTACTGTAACAGAAATCTATTCTTTGACCAAAAGCTTTTTTAGCTCTTACTTTTCTTTCCAGAAGCCTATGACTAAAATGAACGACTTGCTTATTACAGGAAATTCAATATTTTTCGAAGCTAGAAATACTCTTAAACATTGGGTCTCGCATATCTTCTGCAATTTCAAGTTCCAGGTTAGCTTTTCTAAATCTTGAAGCTTTTTTTTTTTTTTCCTTCCATTGAAGTTCTGTCTTTTCATTTTTTTGGTGAGATGTTCTGAATGTCGGAAGCCTCTTAATTTCAAGAGTTCTTTGTTCATCATTATTGTACTCTTGAGTTCTTAGTTTTTGTTTTGTGATTCTTAGTTTTAGTGTCTTTGTGAATTCTCTCCTCATCTTTTCAAAGTGCTGAAACCTTTTGAGTAAGAAAATTGTTCCAACCTGCAACATGATAAAACTATTTCTCTTAAAATTTAGTTTTTGTAAGGTAAAACTTTTGTTCCTTCTCAATTACTTGTTACCTTTCATGGAGATGCATAATAACGAAGGCTAATTTTCTTTGATTTCAAGAAAAACCTTAGGAGAAATTCACAAAACTCTATTTTTATCTAATGCCCTTTTCCCACATCCGATTTGTATATTGTGATCCCATATCCATAAATTAAATATATACGTTCTAAATCTTGGCAAAAAGTTTTTTTTTTTTTTTTTTTTAAAGTTAGTTTAATTCTGCTGCTTGCTTGAATTCCATTTTGCTCCTGTTTTAGGCAAAGTTCTGAGCTAATTAATCAATAATTTAAGGCTTCGTTTGGGATGGTTTTCTTACTGCTTTTTAAAATAGCTTTTTAGTACAAAAATTTTACTATAAAGCTGCTTTAATAAACAGTTAGAAAGCCGTCCCAAACTTTGAGATGACTTTCTCATTGCTTCTTAAAATAAATTTTTAGTATAAAAAATAAAATTTTTATGCTAGAAAGTTGTTTTAAGACCATCTCCAACTGTTCGGCAAACAACCGAATGGAGACCCTCAAACGTCGCAACCGAACGCCTTTTCCTCCGCCATTTGATCGCGGATGAACAGTGCGACGCCAATATTGGCATCGCACTGTTCATATGCGCCATTTTTTGGTCTCTACCAAACTCTTGGAAGAAAGGCGCGAAAGAAGAGAGTGACGGTTAGGGGGCAAAATGGCGTTCGATTGGAGATGAATCACGACACTTTTTTGTTTCACTGCATTTTGGAGTGAAAAAAGAGATTTTCGGTTGGAGATGCCCTAAGAAGTAGTAAGAAAGTCATCTCAAACAAAACCTAAGTTATATTTTCCATTGGAAAGGCAACTAAAAATAGATTTCCTGAGCTTTTTTCTTATTGTCAACAGGTATTGCATTGTTTTAAATGAGTTCTAGTCTTTCATCAACAATAAGGGATACCTTGCAAGATCACAAAATTTACTGTAGATGCAACCAGCAATGCCTTGTATACACATGCCAAAGAGGAGAAAATCGAGGAAGAAAATTCTATAGATGTCCTCGAAATCGCTCACAAGATAATTGTGGCTATCTCAAATGGGTGGACGAAACGGATCAAACAATCAATGCCACAAAATATCAATTAGTAGCTTATGAGGAGAAACTTACGAGAAAATTGGAGTCAATCACTTTTCAAGTGAGGATTGTAATAGCAATCCTTATTATTAATGTAGCTCTCTTATTAGTTTTGTTGAAGGCTATCTTGTACCTCAAGTAAAATATTGAATGATTTAGAGATTTTCTTTTTGTTTAGCTAAGAAGGAATGTAGAGTAGAAAGAATATAGAGGTAAGTATATATAGTGAATTGAGTATATTTTCGAGAAGTTTGGTTGTGATTACATTACAATTGTATGAGATTTTTTTTTTTTTGGAGTTTAGTTTGATGTAAAATAAATTTTGTGTAAAACCTGATGGCGACAGTGGTGAAGCGCAAGGTGGACAATGGTGAAGCGCAAGGTGAACATCGGTTGTTAATGGGCGGTGACGCCAAAAGGTGAACATCGGTTGTTAATGGGCGGTGACGCCAAAAGGTGGTGTGTGCATTGGTGTTTGACGATGGTTGTGCTGGAGGGTTGTGGCTTGTGGTAGGTGACAATTAATTAACTATAGAGGGCGGTGGAGAAAAATGGCTTGTGACCAATGATGTGTGGTGTTGGAGGACAATATTGGTGGGCGTAGGCCAACAACACTTTACACAAGTGCTATATTTGTCTATCAAATCGGATGAAATTTCAAATAGATTAAGGGGATGTTTGGTTGCCAGCAATGATCAGTGGGAGGCCGGTAGGTGGCCAGTGAGGGCTGTAGAGGTGGCAGCTAGCGGTGGCAATGGCGGTGAGTTTCCGATATATTTGGAAATCACACAAATATGAGGAATTCTAAATATATTGGATTTGAACTAGAGGGTGAATTCCTTTTACTTAAAAATTCTACTCTTCATTCATGTTACTTCAAATCAAATACTAATTTTTTTCAAACTCCTACATTTGGAATACTTTACCCTTCTTTTGCAGTCTAAATGTATTGCAATTTTACTCCTAATTTGTTTTTCTTCCAACCGAACAAGGGAATTTAATTTTCAGAAGCTGGGCATTTGTTTAACTTTATATTAATTTTACTTGGAACCAAACAATCCCTCGATCTTCATTTTACATTTTACTCCTTCATTCCTTGGAGGGTATTCTAATTTTTGAAATTAACGTAACACATTTTAATCAAATACTCAAGGTTGTAAAAATTGAAACGTTCAGTGAATCAGGAGGGGTTCACTGATTGATGATTCAATCAGGTCGAACTGAAAAAATCTATTTGACATTATTTTCAAATACCATCCTAAAAACACTTTAGGAACTAATTAATACAACAGTTGAATCCAATTTCCTCCTTCCAGCTAATAATATAGCACAAAAGCAATTATCTTCTTCTTAATTAGTACACACTTTTCCATGAAAAAAATAAGAGGGGATGAAGATAACAGATGCTTAAAGGTGCATAATGATCTTTCAATAATAAGATAAATGGTTTCTTTTTGGGACCTTTGAGCCAATTAAGCAAATTCACGTACACAAAACAAACGTAAGATTCGAACCCAATGAAAGCTCCCAACCAATAAATCAAAATGAGCAGTTGAAATATTAATGTAAGTAAAAATGGTCCCTTTTACTTCCACTGCAACTAATTATAAATGAAGTTGTTTTTTTTATTCTTTTATAAATAAATTTAAAATTATAAATGTAAGAAAATCATTCCAGCAGCTCTAGTGGTTGAATATTTACTTTGTAGATAGCAAATATAATTTGATTGGGCTATTACTTCCTTACAAAATTTAAAAAAAATTATATGATGAAAAGCTATGTTTTAAAACCAGAGCAGTTAAGCACTTTCTCCACAACAACTTCACAACCAACTTTATAAAAAGTTCTAGCCATCCCAAACAGATTCTCCGCATCAAACATATGAAATAGGCTAGATTTAACCCCTACATTTTTTTTTTTTATTGCAAGGGCGAACAATCCAGCAACCAAATTGCAATTTTCTTTGAGTAGAAGTTCTTAGTTGCCAATTCAATGAGGCATTCAATTAGGTAAGAGAGGTCACAGAAGCATTTGTGTTGAGCCACCTGAGATAAGCACTTTCTAAAAAGCTCCAAAAGTGATTAATAACATCCTCTAAAATAAGGCTTTATTTGAGGCAATTTTCGTATTACTTCATGTTTCAGACCGCAATTATACTCTTTGTTTGACCAGTACTTTTTCATTGCTTTCCAAATTTTTTTACACTTAAAAGTTATTTTTTACAATAATTTTAAAATATTATTTTCTCTGCACCAACTTTATAAAGCAATAATAAAATTACCACAAATGAAATCTAAGGAATATTGGATCAGCATAATAAAGACTAAGAACCAATATGGATCAACAACCATACTAAGAACAACACAGAGAAGCAATAAAAGAATGATATGGCCATGGATGAGAATCAATCAACACAGAGAAGCAATGATCTAAGTAGCTAGAAAAAAAAAATTTCTACAAATGATGGTGAAAGTTACATATTAGGTTTTTGTGGAATCTAAGCATGTATTGTTGACTCAAATTTTAATTCCGTCAATCGAGCTAAAGTGTTGTTTATACAACGAACTAAATTGTTGTTTGTACAACATCGAGGTGTTGTGGACATATTGAGACAAAGATCTTAGCGTCAAGGCCTGCGGACCCACTGAGCCAGTTTTTTAACATTGTTTGAGTTGTAAATATATGACAATTATGCTCTAATTTATGTAGGAGTGTGAAGTCTGTGAAAGAGTATGTGAAAGATCTGATCAATTTCTCTCATTTTTATAGTGAATTTCTTGATTTGATGTGACTTCATGATTTTTTTTTCAATTTTTAAAATTTCTAGGTAAATTCTAGTGTTTTTACTTTTTTCTTTACTCTTTTTTGTTTGTTTAGATTTATTTACTCCCAACATTATAGAATAAGGTTGACCCCATGAGAGGAGGAAATATCCCTTATGATTAATAGATCAAAGAACAACAAATAGGATAGGGAGAAATTATTACATGCGAAGTTCGACGTGTTAGGACACCAATTACATGTTGACACGTATTTAAACACTTGTTTTTTTTTTTTGACCTGACGACCCGCCCAACTCTAGCCATGTGTTTTTAAATTGGACGAAACCCGCGAAAACTTCCAAATATTTATGGTGAAGAAAGGTAGAAAATATTCAGAAAATTATTATTTGTTCTTGAACCAAGAAATCCTTGCTGAGATTTTGAACACATGTCTATTTTGCTTTGTCATTGAGGGAGAGGGGATGAGGGAGAAGTTAGAACACAGAGATTTATAGTTACTGGCGAAGTTCATCAGTGAGGGTTTATTTCATGAGGAAAGGCAAGCATCAACTTTAATGACAGATATTGAAAGGGGGAGCAATTTACACAACAACACACATCAATGCACTGTAATATACAGTAGTACAGAACAATATATAGTAATATACAACAATACATAACAATACACATTAGTACATAACAATACATAGCAGTGCACAACAATACACAATGTGTATTAACAAAAATAAATACATTTTCAATATAGTTTTTCTAATACATAGCTATGAACAAGCTCAAAAAGCTTTCAAATGAACAAATACAAAACTTTGTATTGTTATAATCTTGTTTCAAAGCTTATACACATCAATATATGACAATATATAGTGTTTTTAGAAAAAAAAAATTAAAATCATAAAAAAGATTAGGAAAAAATAATATTATCAAAAAATATTTCTTATGCACAGCTCTGTTCAAGCTCACAAAATTTAAAATGAAAAAAAAAAACAATACATAAACTATTCGAAATTGTTGTATACGCATCATATATTTCTCATTTTTCTTTCACAGCAGGTATCAAAATTGTTATTCCATCTTCATCACACAGCGTTGACTTTCGATATTTGCAAGGCTTTCGTTCTCTCGCACCAAACCGCTCCCTGTTTGATATCTACTATAAAAGTTGTTGCTAGCATTTCCTCATGAAAGAAACCCTCACTGATGAACTCCACCGGCAGTCATAAATCTTCGTGTTCTAACTTCTCCCCAATTTTCTCTCCCTCCAGGACCAAGCAAAAACAGTGGAGTGCTCAAAATCTCAGCAAGAGTTTCTTGATTCGAGAAAAAATAATGATTTTTCTGAACTTTTTTTCTCTTACTTCACCTGTAATATTTAAGAATTTTAAACTTTTTCTCCCCTTTCTTCACTTGAAATATTTGAGAGCTTTCAGGGCTTTTCGTCAATTTTAAAAAGCATGACTAGAGCCGGGTTGTCGGGTCAAAAAATCTAAATATGTATCAATATTTAACTTAATAATTTCTTCCTTCAGTAATTATTCCGTCTGGTTACCGAATGGATCCGGAAATCAATAACAAAACGTCATGTTACTAAAGTGTTCGGTACCATACTCGATACAGCGCGCTAGGTACATTCGATATGCTTGATTTTTTCACATGATGTAATAATTTTTTCTTGAAAAGAGAGTGAAAAACCACGCAGTAATTATAACGGCCATCTATTTAAATTCGCCCTTCTGTGCCGATGACTAATTTCCACGGCCTGCTACGGCTATGACCAAATTTAAAATTTTCACTTTACACAAATCTCCCAGTAGAGATTTTCAGTTCTCCTATTGTTCCTCAGCCACTTCTCCCTTGGCTTTGAAATCTCTGCGGCAACGACCCGAAGAGCCGCAACAAAGCTCCATTGCGCTCCCACAAACACATAATACAGAATCTCTCTGTTTTGACCCCAGATCCTTTGTTTCTTCTCTGGTCCAATGCCAAAGCCACTTCCAGATTAAAAAAGTTCACGCCTTGGCAATCACCACGGCCATGATAGAAAACTTGGGTGTAATCAACAAGCTTATCTACATCTATGCGCAGCACAAGGCAATGGCCGACGCGTACTTCCTTTTCTTCCGGATGAAAGAGCGAGATAATGTCTCTTGGAGTGTCATTATCGGTGGGTTCTCAAAGGTGGGAGATAATTACAATTGCTTGAAAACTTTCAAGGAGTTTCTCCTCTCTGGTTTGCCGATGGATAATTACACTCTTCCCTTTGCTTTGAGAGCTTGCAGGGATACATTATCTCCGAACACAGGTAAGGAGATTCATCTTCTTGTTTACAAATTTGGATTACAGTGTGATGTTTTCATTTCTGCGGCTATTGTCGACATGTATTCCAAGTGCGGGCACGTAGAAGATGCCCGCAAGGTGTTCGATAAGATGCCTAAGAGGGATCTTGTGACTTGGACGGTCATGATTTCCTGTTATGCTGAGTGTGGAAGTCCTGAGGAATCGATGGCATTGTTTGATAGGATGAAAGATAATGGCATTGTACCTGATAAGGTCTCCATGGTGACTGTTGTGTTCGCCTGCGCGAAACTTGGGGCAATGCATAAAGCTAAGATGATTCGTGATTATATATGGAGAAGAAAGTTTTCATTAGACGTTATTCTTGGTACTGCGATGATCGATATGTATGCTAAATGTGGGAGTGTTGATGCGGCGAGGGAGATCTTTGATCAAATGAAAGAAAAGAATGTGATTTCATGGAGTTCAATGATTTCAGCCTATGGTGTCCATGGGCGTGGCAGGGAAGCTCTTCAGCTCTTTCCTCAAATGCTCCAGAGTGGGATTCGGCCAAATCGGATTACTTTTGTTTCCATTTTGTCAGCCTGCAGTCATTCAGGCTTGATAGAAGAGGGGAGACAGTTTTTCAATTCAATGGAGAGGGATTATTTTGTAGAATCTGATGTGAAGCATTATACTTGCATGGTAGACCTTCTTGGCCGTGCAGGAAGACTTGATGAGGTGCTTGAATTGACGGAGCGGATGAAAGTTGATAAAGATGAGGGGTTTTGGGGTGCCATTTTAGGGGCTTGTAGAATCCATGGACACATAGGATTGGCTGAGAAGGCAGCAAAAAACCTTCTTGAGTTAGGTCCAAGAAATTCAGGATACTATGTTTTGCTCTCAAATATATATGCAAATGCAGGTAAATGGGAAGAGGTGGCCAAGGTAAGGCAGATGATGACTGGGAGGGGAGTGAAAAAGACTCCTGGATGGACATGGATTGAGATTAATAATAAGCTATATCAGTTTATAGTGGGGGACAAATCTCATCCGCAGTTCAAGGAAATATATGAAATGCTGAAGCTATTAGTTGAAAGGTTGGAGCTTGCTGGCTATGTTCCGGATACAAATTTTGTGCTGCATGATATAGATGAGGAACTTAAAGCGGAGTTTTTGTATACCCATAGTGAGAAGCTGGCAATTGCATTTGCTCTTATTGCAACTGCCGAGGATTCTGCCATCAGGATGACCAAGAACCTAAGGATATGTGGGGATTGCCACACTTTTATTAAGATGGTCAGCAATATCGTACAGAGAAATATTGTTGTTCGAGATTCAATTCGCTTCCACCATTTTTCTAATGGGTCCTGTTCTTGTGGTGATTACTGGTGACTTAAAAAACCTGTACAGAAAGGTAACTCTATTCTTCCATGTGCTAGCATCCTAAGCTGTATTTGGCATATTAACAATATTTTGGCAAATTAGTAAACTGTGTAACAAGAGATTTTTTAATTTTTTAATGCTAACCACTTATGTACAAGAGCTACGAATTGTGATATTATGTTTGAAGAAGCTGCTATTTTTGGAAGAAATTAGTCATTTTTATGTGTTTTCGTAATAATCTGCCTTCTGTTTTAGAAATCCAATTCAGTGAGGATGCATAACAGTTTTTTACTTTTAATTTTGTTTCTTCATAGTAAATTTTTTCATCGTTTAAAGAATTGAGGTCTGAACATATAAGAACCCCAGCATATCCATCCATAGCTGGCTCAAATAAGCTGAATCTATGAGCTTCTTCTGATAACATTGATTCTTGTTTCGGCCTTAACTGAAGTCTTTAGGGTGATTAGCCATGTTGACATTGTCAAATTGAAGCTGAGACCGCATATCTTTCACTAATTTATATGTTCCATATGTGATAAATGGGAATATGTACTTATTTAGCACATGACCATATAAATGATTGCCCTACGATGGAGACTGATTTAGATTGGCCAGTGAACGTGTTAAAATTTTTTGCCAGTTTCATTGCTTCTTAAGTTGTCTGACGCATAGGATTAGTATAATAGGGTCTTTTTGTAATGATGCATTGAGAAACCAGTAATTAACTTTGCTACTGAGAATTACATCTGAGCAATAAGTAAACATGAGTTTATCTCTATTGATAGAGATTTACATGTATAAGATGTCAATGCGGATCAACTTAAACTAAAATCTAAACCAATATCTAACAATCTCCCCCTTTGATCCAGCTTTTACAGAAATGGTAGCTATACGTTTCTCCAACCAAATTAGAATTAAGTGCTCAAAAGAACAAGAAGAACAGCAAAAAACCAAAACTTATTAAAGCTAACAGATAAGCGCACAAAAGGCACATTAAAAAATCCGAAAAAAAATACAAACAAATGATCCAAAGAAATTAAAATCCCATAAACCTTAGCTAAGCAGAGAAATGCCATAGTTACAAACATTCACAACGTAACTATGCTTAGCTGGAGATTTGGGTTCCTTTCTATTGGAATCTGGTTAATTTATTTTTTTATCATAATGTACCTATATGCACTTTGTTGATGTAGATATAATAGTTTTTTTTAATGCTAATGTTCAACAATGTTAGTGTCTGATCTTTTATTCTGTAATTTTGATAGGTGAAAGGACTGTATACAGGTGCAGCACCTTCGTCAATTGGGATGACATTTGAGAGCTTCCTTCTTATTGGCATTTACTCTCAAACTAAGTAGTAAGTCTGCTAAAAAAGCTCAGAACTCACTCAAATATTGCTTGAAATTTGACTAAATTCGACTCAGTTTGGAGCCTATTTCAAGTTTGATTCAACTCGCTCGAATATAATTTGTGATGACTCTTAAGTAAAATTTTTATAAATTATATAATTTATAAAACTTAATGTCTGTATAATATATAATATAATATTTATTTAGTTAATTAAAAACTAATTTGGAGTTGACTTGAAATTCAATCATTTTTTGAGTCAAATTGCCTAATCAATTATTTTGAGTCATGTTGAGTTCAATTCATTCATTTATTTTTAATTTTAAACAAAGCCTAAATTGCTTGAACAAAAATAAATTGCATCATCGTTCACTTTCAATACATAACTGTTTTCTTTATTTTTATTATTTTTATTTGATTTAGCTATGTCTGATGTCCTTACAACTTGATTTTTTTTTCCCAAATGTTTATTCAAGGCGAATCCCAATGCAGTTACCCATAGCTCCAGGCGATTATGTGCTGGTGCTTATTTGGGGGCAATAATCAGGTTGATACTCTGCTCTATGGAGCTGGTAAAGGTATGCTACACATTTCCCAATTAAGTTCCTTTCTCCAACGCCAATAAAACTTCAATCTTTTTCACTTTTTCACATGTAAAGTTAAGATATTTCCAGTGATGAGCCGGCTTGGCAAAATCTAGGTCCCTAATTCGAATTTCTTGGCAAGCAGTGAAAGACTTAAATGTTGGTCTGTATAAATTGGTGTGGGTTGCATGTTAAGTCGACCGGGGTTTTCACTGGCCTATGGGCAGTTGCTTGCTCATTAAAAAAAAAAACAAGATATTTCCAGTGTAGAATGCAAGTCCAAGGAATGGATTCATATTTGTTCTGCTACATCAGATACAATGATCCTCTAGATTTTGCTCTAAAAATCATTAAGAATGAAGGGTTGAGAGACATAAAAAGTCTTAGAGATTCCATCAGTTGAGTGTCAATGACAAACAAGTATTGAACCCTTAGATCAAAGGTATCCTTTGTGGCTGTCCCACAAGTTTTCGATATGATGAATCTTCTCTTTTAATGTAATTTTGCAATTATTCGCTTTTGAATCTTCTCAAAATGTCCATTTAAATTGTTGAGCAGGCAAGATTAGCTCTTCAATCCGTTATTTTTAAGCTGATTTATTGAAATCTTAATGAAAAATTCTTTAGTGGTGCACTTCAGCAGGGTTCTTGAAAATTGCTTCTTTTTTTTTTTCCTATTTCACAGTAAAAGTTTCCATGAGAGTCTAATCCTTTGCTGATTCCAATACAAACACATGGCCAGAGCTTGCATCTGCATCAAGATTTTAGATCATTATCATAACCAACCCTCATAATCTCAAAATAAGAAAGGCTAAACCCTAAAGCTTGAATAGCCCCTATGTTGGAATTCAAGCAATGCTCATTCTATGAGATCACTCCATTTTTTTTTCCAGGCATGGCTGACCCCTCTAGGCATTTCAAGCAAAGAATAAGAAAGGAAAAATAATCTAATATTTTCCTCCAAACACTCTCCACCATGTGAGAAAAGTGCATAATATTTTCGATCAATCACTTTAACCGCCATGATGATGATGATGATGATGATGATGATGATGTTGTTGTTGTATTAATTTGTATTTCAGTTGGGACGACTTTCTTATTATTTTTGAAAGTAGCTTTCTATCATAAAGTTTTTGGAACTAAATTTTTTTTACTAAAAAATTGTTTTAGAAAGCCTTCCTAAATGAAAGCTTCGTTTGGGACGATTTTCTTGCTACTTCTTCTTAAAGTAGCTTTTAAGTACAAAAATTAAAATTTTTGACATCATAAATCTGCTTTAAGAAGCAGTAAGAAAATTGTCTCAAACGAAGCCGAAGTCTTGATCAATATTTTGACATGAAACTTAACCCTAACTCCCATTAAGCCCTTTTTAAGACCTCTCTGTCGTCCAGTTATCACTTATAAATAAGTGCGCGGGTTCTTCTTAAGATTCTCTCACTACCCCATCAATTTTTTTATTCATAGATAAATTTCGACTTTGAATTGATCATTTCTTGGGAAAAAAAAAATGGATTTAAATATTTTGTTGCAAATTTAATTTGAATAATTTTTGTAATCATTAAATTTATTTTATGATGAGGAATATATAATTTTTGATTAATTAGCCATTCTTTTCATTTTTTTTTAAATTAATGATTACTAAATTCATTTTGATTAAATTTGAGTTAAAATATATTATCCTATTTTTTCTACATAAAATGAGCAAATATATAAATAATTAATTATTTTTAAAATAAATCAAATATTTTAAAACTCATATTGACTAAAATTTAATAAAGATATTCTCGCTCAATTTTTTTTATATATATTGATTTATATCGACCATAATACAATTAAACATATCAGCTATATGAATCGATCGTAATGCAATCAAACATATCAGATAATAATTAGCTGCATGTTAAGTTCATAAAATAAAATTGATCGACGGTTAAGCATAAAATTTATTTAGTTTTTGGTCGTAAAATGCATAGCAAATAATTAAAAATTTTAATGGTGTTAAACAATCCTATGATATAAAATTATAAAGTTAATTACTAAAGAGAAGAGTCAATATATTGAATAGTTATTCAAATAATAACATAACTACATAAGCCACGTCCTATGCCAAACAACAAATATTACAAATACAACACCGTATAATTTATATTTCTTACTATATATTTACACATTTGCCCAAAACATGTATTACATATTTACATCAGCTGTACATTTTTGTAATAAAAAATTTATTGTAAGAATATAAGCTTTTGGCATCTTTTGTTAGAGAACGAAGATAAATATCATCGAAGCATATCTACAAATATCTTATGATAAAAAAAAATATTTAGAAATTTTTTTATTATTAATTGTCACATTCACTGATTAGGACATCCACATTGAAAAATTAGATATATGTCCACCATCACTGACAAACCTTGCACTCTAATTTAATTATTTTACTCAATTATTTCAAACAATTAGTGCAAAGCTGTGTATTAATCACTTTCATGGGCCCCACCTCATAATGTCAAATTAAATTAAGTTAGATTAATATGGGGCCTCTTAATTATTGCATAAGATTAATGTTACATAGCTTTGTAATTAAGTAAGATGATTTGTGAGAGGACTCTAATTTGATTTGAGAAATGACTTGTGAGCTTAGTTGATTTTGACAAAATATTTGCTTTGTTAGTTGAATCATCTAAAATATTTAAATATAAAATACGTACATTTAAAAAACAAAAAATTATTAAAATTATTTAAAATCTAATAACATATATTCATTTTATTTTATTATTTATTTATAATCTAGTATTTACTATTATTTATTTTCTCTCAATTTAAATATATAAAATTAAATTTGAAATTAAAGTTCACTAATTAAGATGTTTGATTGGTTAAGAAGGAATGTAGTACTATAGAAGGAGTACAATGCAAAAGAAAAATAGTGTAAAATTAATATTTTTGAGTTATTTGGGTGAGTATAAAATAAATTCATGTGAATATTTTTTTTGTTTGGTTTGAAGTAAAATAAATGTAGCGTAAAAATTAAAAATGGTGACTAGCAGCGTTGGAGAGTGGCGATGATGATGGTTGTGATGCAAAACATTTTTGCTCAAAATTGGGCGAGTTTGACTTTGTCTCCAAGATCTAAAATGAAATAATTCTTTTCTTTTTCTTTATTATCTTTTCCATTCATTCTATTACTTTTATCTTTCATTTAACAACAAGATTTATTTGATAGACAGAGCTGATTAGTTGTATTAAAGAACTATAAAATATGAAAAAAAATATAATTCACATTATTATAATCAATATTTACATGCTACATCCAGAGTTCCAAAATCAATAATAATCACATTGGCCACAAAAGAATAGAAATAAGTGTAAAACTTAAAGTAAAACTAAAACACATTATTACCTGGTCTCTCATCTTGCAAGGCCTTATATTTATTTGAAATTATATAAAATCAAGTAATGAGCATAAAAGTTCAAATAATAACTAAAATCTTACTACTAAAATCAATGTAGAAACAATATGCTGTAAATCATGTAAAAAAAAAAACTATGATCAATCTATGTTATATGTACCATTCAATCAGTATTAGTGTTTAGTAATCAATATTAGTATCAATAATCAATATCATTATATTATATATTTAATTCAATGTATTTTGATCTTATTTTTGTACTTATGACTCCCAATCAGTTGCACTTTATTATTTCTAATCAATATACTTATCATAGCTCTTATTAGTAATTAGTATAAGTATCAAAATTATCGATAAGATGGATAAGATTCTAGAGGTGACCCCTACAAACACAAGTGGCATCTCCCGTCATGTAGCACTTTGTCTCTTATATGTTTCAAGATGTGAATCTCATGGTGTAACACTATCTTGCATGACATTTAGTTCTCATCTTATTACTAGTACATGTCTCTAATACCACTCTCCCAATCATGTGCTCATATTCATTCATATCAATCATTTTAGTCCATATCACATTTCATATTTTCAAATCAAATCACAATACATAACTTTTCAACCAATTTTTAGTATACCTTTTTCTCACTCCCAGAAACTCCTAGACACATTTAACCAATAAAAATGTAATAAAATCATATTATATTGTTCGGAATGATCAAATCTATAAAAAATCAAAGATTATAATATGAAAGCTTATAAAATTAGGAGATGTTCCATTTTTAATAGATTTATGAGAGATAAAATTCGTAGAAATTAAAATCATCAAAAGTAAAAGTAATTAGATAATATTTACTTACAATGATTAGAATATATTTTTTAACAAAAACGATGGACATAAAAGCCTTGACTGATCCTCTGTCTCTTCCTCTTTCTCTCCCCTTCTCTTCCTCTGTTCCTTTTCCTTCCCGGCTAAGCTATGGCATGGATATATATATATATATATGCCTAGCATCGTAGTGCTGAGACCCAACGGCACATGTTGAATTCAAACTTATTGTAGAAACAAAGGCTTCACTTTTGTGGTGGTGATTTATGGCTAAACTATGCTCTTAAGCCTAGCGCCGCAGATTTCCAATTCAAACATTTCATTTTAAAATACATATTCAAATTTTGGATTGTTTCAAGTTTATCTAAAAATTGAACAATAAAGACTTACACTATGTTTACTAAGTTCCTTTTTTCATCCAAGCAAACATCAAAATTATTAAAAACCTTGCTTTTAAAATACTTTGCACCCTACAAATATTCCAACCAAATAAGCCCTGATTAATCTCAAATTAATGTTGATTGGAGCTAGACTTAGGCTTCATTTGGCATAGCTTTTGGCCATTTCTTTTCCACAGTTAAAAAAAAAATTATGATAAAGAATTAAAGCAATTAAAAAACTATTCCAAATAAAAACTCTATATTTTTTATGTTGCCATCCATAAATCAGTTTAATTTACTATAATTAAACAGTTGTTGAATCCTTAATTATCAATAGTATGCAAAATCTAATATCTAAGCTGATCAATGTAATAATTCTCTACTATTTAATGCATTAAGTAATGGTCATTAACATAAAAATGCAAAAAAAAAGTTCTTTAAATGTATTTATTATCATATTAAAGTGCAACTATGCTCTCAAAATACATTACTCATATGTTTCCTTGTCAAATTAAAATTAAAAAAAAAAAAAAACAAATTTAACATCCCATTTAACACTCAATATAAATGAATAAAAAACCATAAAATCAATCTCTAAAAATAATATTTATGATATAAAAAGAAAAATTACTAATAAAGATGATAATTTACTAATAAGTTCTTGATATTTTTTATTGACAAAGCAAAATATTTACATCACACAGCTCCCAACACTCCAAACTAGCTTGATAGCATAATCTTAGAAGGACAAACACACTTAAGGAAAAGTATTTACAAACACTTTCTCTCTCTCTCTCTCACAAATCTGCTCTCTTTCTCAGATCAAAACACAGCAAATTTCCATCATTTCACCTGTGCTTGCTCCTTGTCTCACCACTATACATCCTGTAAAAAAATGAAAAAAAAATCATAGTTATTTAATAACTATTAAGAAAAAAATAAAAAAAAAATTTTATTAAAATATTTTCAGAATGGATAATATTATATTCATCTTAAAAAAAATATCTTGACACAAAAATTTGGTCAGAATTCCTCAATAAAATTTCGTGCAAGTAAAATTATAAATTTATTTAAAAATAATTATTTATTTATATACTATATATCCATCTTAAAAGAAGCTTTAAATTTTAGTTATTCTTTCTTGTGGCAAACACGTACGTGTTGGTTATCTAAAAAAAGTTTTTGAAGGGTCTCTTCTGCAAAACAACCAAAATAATAAAATTTACATAAATACCAAAAAAAATTATAGATTTTACATTTTTAACATCTTAATTTTTCTATTTTTAATTTAATGTCTAAATTATTTTAAAATATGAACTAAAAATATATTAATATTAGTAATTTATTATGTCGTTTAAAAATTAATATGAAAAATTAAGAGTTACATACGTAAAATACATAAAAAATTTACGGTATTTATGTAAAACCCCCTACAAAAACCCATAATTACAAATAATGAAAAGTATTAACCAATCATAAACGGTGGGAGAATTGGGCTGTGGTTTATCGAAGAGATCTGAGCCGAGCGTCTTCGTATTAATATTGCTTCCAGGGTGGAACACGCTTCGCCAGACGTTAGCTTTTCTCGCAGTCGGCGTCGCCGCCGAGTTCGGCGTCAGCGGCGTTATCGGCGTGGTCGGCATGGACGCCGAGCGCTGGTACAGCGTTCCGCTGCTCTCCGCTTCACCACCTTCTCCATACATCAAAACAAGCAGATCATATTAATGATTCAGATAAAAACTAAGTGATTTTATGAAATTATCGACATACTTTGGGGATTGATGTGCAGGGGTTTGGAAGAGATCTTCCCCCGGAGTTTGCCGAGACCTTTGTCGGGGTGAGGACCGGCGAGAACGTCGTCCCAGAGCTTGTCAAGAAGAACCATGGCTGCTCTGTTTCTCTCTTCTTCGCTTGCTCAGCTCTTTTCTTTATATGGAGAGTTTCAGCTCTCTCTTTGGCTGATTGGTTTTATTATTTCAGTAAGCGGTGGGTGGTGTCATAAATAGCTGAAGATTAGGGTTAAGATTACCATGAGGTAGTTTTACCTCCAAGGGTAAATTAGAATGTAAGGAATTAGATTGTCATATTAGATACATAGTTTTTTTTAATGTATTATTATGTATTGGGATATTAGTGAAATTATTATTTTATAAAAATATCACATAATAAATAAATAAGTTGAGAATATCTCATATGGGATATGAGATTTTTATGTTAAAATTTTAAAAAGTGAAAAAAATTATGAAGTTTGAGTTAATTGAAATAATTTTATTGGTATGAGTTATATACTAATTATGTATAAATGATGTTTTTCTATGTAATTAAATGTATTAATATAATGTAATATATATGAATTATAAAAATACACTTTCATGATAGAGGTATAATTAGTATTAAGACATTGAAAATGTTTGATTATTGATGATAGCCTAAATCGTAGCTTGCGCAAAGTCACGATCAAAGACTAGAAACACGAGTATCAATTTTAAAAGAGATGTCATGCATTGATTTTCGTGTCAATGTATAGCACTGAAATTGGTGGCAATGCCAAAATTAGCATTGAATTTTGCTTTAATGGTGGAGATAGATCTTGTTGGCAACTATGACATGTATCAATATTAGTGTTAATGATGAACATTGACCTTGGTGACAATGATAGGTGTAATGAGCTTGTAGGTAAAGTTCTAGATTCGCTTATATGAAATTATTATTATAATCTAGCTCCCCTTGCCTAAGTATGCGAAAGTAGGGGAATTTATAGATTTTTTTATAAGGGCATTCTAATTATTTCAAGTAGAAATCAGAACACTTCATCTGACCATTTATGTTTGTCACGACCCGACCCGACGATATGTACAAAAAATCACCTGGAGCAAAACTGGGCACATTCTGGAGCAAAATTACCACTGATCGTCCCAGGACGATCCAGATCGTCCTGGACGATCCTGGAGCAGATTTTTGATATTACAATGTTGACCCCTCTAGATCATATAATACTTTGCAAGCATTTAAGCATCTAAATGATGTTAAAATTTGATAATCATAGGCTAATTGGATGTGTATCATGGAGGACTTGTTGTAGTACTTGAGCCATGGGTATAAGTGCTGATGATACTTCCAATCTGATTTTCTATGATGATAGTATTGAGTAATAATGAATGGGTTGGCAAAGAAGAACCAAAGAGGACTTAGATGTTAATAAATTTGGGAAGGCTCTGTGTGCCAATTAAAGAAAAAAACTAAGATAATTTTCATCATTATTATCAAATCCATGCATGCAATATCATCTATTAGGGTACCATTACCATCTAACGTCCGATATAGGTTGACATTGCTTGACCTCTAACATTGCAACATCATCTTTGGATTATCATTATTGACAAAATGGCGAAAAAGGATTCATGTAGCCGACCCCATGTAGTGGGACAAAGGCTTGTTGTTGTTGATGTTGCCCTTGAGCTCAACCATCAAATTTCTTTCGTTGGACTGTTATCGTCTAACCTCCATTATCGGACCACTATCATCGCAGGATCGTTGCAATCAAACTACCATCACCCCGATCTCCATCATTGAACCGTCACTGCTTTATCAACATAGCCAAATTTTCATCACTAAGCCACAACTATCGAAAAACTTCTCAATTCCTACTAACTCTATGACATTTTCTATCGAGAAACATTCTTATTTTTATCTTATGTGCTCTAATTTGAGAGTTAAATAAATCTTTATAATTACTATTTACATAATTAAATAATTTCACCCAGGTTATCATCATTCAAAATTTTTTTTTTACTTCTCAAATATTTTACGTAAGATTATCGTCACATATCAACACGACTTATTCATTATCGTAAATTTTTAGCACATAATAAAATTCATCACAATTATAAAGCTATTAGCATAGCTCATCTTAATTATAATCAATCAAAATATTTAAACAGTCCCTCAATTGATCGGGTGCAAATTGTAAATCGCGACGTGAGGTGGTAGCCTTATAAGGTACAAATATACAATTATTAGAGGGCGCATTTGCAAAACCATGATGCGAAAGGATATAATTAATAATCAATGAAGCGGTGAGTTTACCCAAAAAAATGAAGCGGTGAGAATAAAAAAAGATACCCAAAAATAAGAGAAAATTTACTGTTTTGCTGCATACTGGTCACGAGGTGGTGTTGGAAATCAAGGGGCGTGACAGCGTAGCGGATAAGGATTGAGGCTAGTGGACCCCACCAATAATAAAAATAGTACGACTTCGTTGGATCTGTCCGGGGTTCTCGCTAGCGGACACGTGTCACGCCTGCTGGACCGACTCACAAGCATGTACTTTGTGGGCTCCATTTAGGGCCCAATTTCAAATAATGGGCTAGATTGTAGCCCACTATGAATGACTGAGAGTTAGCTAATCTAGTTGGGCAAAGATAAATTTTATTATTATTCATCAGATGCTTACTTCCTTTTTATTTATAGTTTTGCACAAATAAATAAATTTTTATATCTTATTCTATTTTTACATTTATTATTTTATGTGATACACAAGTAAAGCTCATATATGAGTTGCAATCTATGAAATGAATATTAGATGTACTATAATTCCATTGTTTTGTATATAATAATTTAATTACCATTCTATAATTTATATTTATAATTTCAAGTCATTTGAATGTTTTTATTTTTTTTTTCATATTTATTAAAATTTTCATGAAATTGGAGATATACAGTGAGATGATAAGAAAATGATAAGAATTTTTAAATTCATGACGTCAATAGCTTAGTGATTTGAGCAAGTAGAAAGTTTTCGTTGTGTATTGATGATCATAAACATAAATCCAAATAAGAGGATGATGGTAATTCTATTTTTTAAACGATAAAACTTATTGATCTACTTTCGCGTTGCAATGTGCTTTCAATTGCGGTCATTTCATTGGGAAATATTTGAAAATCAAAGCTATTTGAAGCCATTACAACCTTTATAAGATAGAATTCCAAGATCTTTTCGTGAAAAAAATGTTAAGAGTTCAATTAATATTAATGTCAACCTATAGCTTAGAGCAAACCTTGTTTGAATTTATGCTAAGATGATTGTCTAATATCATTGTTTTCTAGTGATGATAAAATTTGGTCCAACACGTTCCTAATATTATTTTCCATGGTTCAATTCTCAGATGATCGAATTGCCAAATTTCTTGCGCTTGTGATGTTGAGAAGTTTCAGGAGGTCCTTCATTCCCGGATCAAGGGCTTGGTCATTATTAAACGTCGCTAGACCCCCATCTATCTCCCTGACTTCCCATTCCTCGCCCTTGAAAAAAAAAAAATTGGAACATTCAATCTATCATCTATGATGTTTTGCTATTCCATATTTTTCTTCAACTTTTTTGGTCACAAATCTTTTCTATGAGTAGGTAAATGATTGCGCTAATGACCTAATTCACTCATAATCTAATATCTATTAATACTTGCTTAATAGTGACACACAATATCAAAATCCGTCAACAATACAATGTATATCATCAAAGAACATTGAAGCTCATAGTTAACCATTGCGACACTTGCTAACACACAATAACATCAATTATATCTCGCCCATCGATGGCCGGCAATGCTCACCCCCTCCAACTTTTGCTATCCACACCCAACCACCAATGCTCCCATATTGTGAGTGACTAAGATCATGAAGAATAGTGGAGAAAAATGATGCCACTAATATATTTAACATCATTATGTTGTAATAAATTAAAAGAATTATTAAGTGTTAAAATTATAATCTTTAGGTTTTAAAATGCTTAGCTTAAATGATAATTAGATAGTAATAGTTTAATATTCTAATATTATTTAAGTTAATTCTTATCGATTGTTCATTAAAACTAATTATAGATTAGTTATTCATTAAGTTTAAGACTATTTAATTTAATAACATGGCCTAATAATATTAATTAAAATTTTAAATAAACATCCTAGTTCGTACTTGATGAGCCCCACTTTAGAGGCGCTGTGGCATGAGATTATTCGAGCATGGGTTGAGGTTCTCAATCGTACTCGTCCACCAACCAAGCTAAGTGACAGTAGGTAATGATTGATAATTAAACATTAAATCACATAAATATAGAACAATCACTTTTAAATCAAAATCATTAAAATTTATTAAACAACCCATGTGGGACCCACCCTCATTCATACAAAATTTTCCAAAGTAGCTATGCGAGAGTGATAGTGTTGACTCAGCATATTATTCTCTCTCAAGTCTCCCCGGACTCGTTCAACAACTCAGTCACAACTTTGTCCAACTCATTCCAGCTTAGTCCGCCGTTCTCCACCGCCTCCCGACTCGCCGCCTTCATCTCCTTCACCCTTTCCCTCACCTTCCTTACTTCCTCGCCGTCCTCCATCAACCACCTCACCTTCCTCTCCACCTCCTCCGCAGTCACCCATCCCTCTCGCCGGCGATCCACCGCCATTTCCGCTGCCAACCCCATCTCCGCCGCCATCTTGAACGCATTCAAATGCTGCTCCGCGTACATCGGCCAAGTAACCATCGGCACCCCATACCACAAGCTCTCCAGAATGGAATTCCAACCCCCGTGCGTCACGAATCCCCCCACCGCCACGTGGCCCAAGATCTCCGTCTGAGGCACCCACCCCTCCCACACAATCCCCTTTCCTTTCGTTCTCTCTCGAAAGCCCAACGGAAGTCCAGCCTTCTCGCCTCCGGCGAGCCGCAGGATCCATAGAAACCGGAACCCGCTGCGTTCAATGCCTGCTGCCGCTTCTGAGGCCTGCTCCACCGTCATCATCCCCATGCTACCGAAGCAGAGGAACACCACCGACGCCTCCGGTTGCTTGTCGAGCCAGTGGAGGCATTCGTGTCGCACGCCGGCGACAAAATGAAGAATCGGCCCGACTGGATGTACCGGTGGAACCGATTTATCCGATTCTATCGCAGAGATTACCCCTTTTTCTAGCGCACGGAAGGTGTTCACTAAAATGCCTCTTACCTGTTTAAGCCGCTGCGCGTGATAGATGGTCCAGGTATACTGACGGTTCTTCTTGTCCATTAAGGGGCTAGGCATTGACAAGGGTGGTATCGGGGGAAGGCCAGGGACGTGAATCTGGCCTTGGAATTGATCGAATTCCACGGGGATTTCGTTGTGGAGGGTGGGAAGATGGAGAATCAGGGCGAGCATGGAGGCGTTAAAGGGGATGTAGATGTAGGTGGGGATGCGAAGCTCGTTGGCTGCGTCGATGACGGCGGTGGCGAAAAGGTCGATGATGAGGGCGGAGGCGGAGGTGGCCACGAGGGCAGATTTGATGTGTGGGGTGTAGAGTTGGAAGCAGCGAGCGGCGTGGTCGGACATTCCGTCAGTGGAGTGGAGAGAGGGGAGGTCGATGGATGGGAGGTAGTATATGGAGATGGAGGAGGAGGAGGAAGAGGAGGGGAGGAGGGCGAGGGAGGAGGCGAAGGCGGCGGTGGATGGCATGAGAAGGATGGTGACGGACAGGCGGCCGGCTGCTGAAGGGTGGAGGAGGAGGCGGTTGGCGAATTCGATGGCGGAAGGAGTGTGGCCGGCGCCGCCAGCCGGGAGGAAGGCCAGGTTAATCTTCTTCTTCTTCTGCTCTTCCATTTCCTCTCTCTCTCTCTCTACTTTGAAACGTGTGAATTCTATTGGAGGGGGAGAGCCTTGGCGTGTTTTGGGACGAATTTCTTATTATCTTTTAAAAAATATATATTTTTTTCATGCAAAAATTTTAATATTAAAAAAAGTAAGAGTCAGTCTCAAATAAAGCCTTAGTCATTCGAATGTGATTGGTAGGGCATGTGTAATATATATTATATATTATTTTTTAGGAATTTTTATTTTATTTATTTTGATTCTAAAATTTTAGAAAAGAATGTAAATTTTTTTTCTTTTCTTTAAAATTTTTAAATTTAAAATATTGAAGAAAATATTATTTATAAATAAAACTTCTAATTAACCTTTTATTTGTTTAGGTTACATTGTATTTAAATATTGCAATATGTAATATAAAAAAGTTAAAAACATAACAATAATTAATATTAATTTAAATATATCAAGTATCATGTAAAAAAAACACTTCTATTTTATTTATTAGGCAGTTAACCACACAAAATTTCTCATAGTTGCAAAGTGGAGACAACAATTTTACAAGAAATTTATTAGAAAAAAAAAGGATTTGAGAAATATTTTATTTTGATCCCAACCTAAGTTTTCATCATGGAGTAAAACCTTATATTCATAAATAACAAAATAAAATGAAGAATGGAAAAAAAATATTTATCAAATGAAATTTTATGCAGACCTTTTTTTTTTGGGTGTGCAATTGTGAAAGTGTCGGCAGAAAATTCTTTAATATTAAAACATAGATAATAATTTAAAAAACTTGTATTAGATAATTAAATTTTAAAAAATAATAGATACAAAATTATGTATATATATAAATATGAGAATTGAGAACTTTTCTTTTATTTTTAGTCTCATATCGGCCTGTGCTATGTGATAAAGCATTTTTTATATTTGCTTAATTAAAGTATATAAATTTTAAATTTATTTATTAAATAAAATATTTAATAATATATTTATTAAATATTTCATTTAATAAAATATTAGAAGATTTGGTTTTTAAAAAAGGTTCGCTGGTTAACTGGTTGAATTACAAGTTCAATCCTGTTTATGGGTAAAACAATTTTTACAAAATTTCGGACTGGTTTTTAAAGCATTGAGAAATACTGTAATGCCCAATAATTTAATCAATAAAATTTTAAAAATGATTATCAAGTTTATAAATTTCTCTTTTATCATATTTGTATTTTGACTTTTTTTTTAATGAAAAACAATGTTCATATGTGACTTCAATTTAAAAAATTACAACATCAATCCCTTGTCCTGCTCTATGGTGCCAATTATAACTTTTTTTTTTCCATTTTGACATTTAAATAGTCCATTTTGAAAAGCGGGATTTACATACATACCATTTTATATCATGTTATTTATATCTCTAATACTCAAAATTTTAATATTTCATGCTTACCACCTATGCATATATCAAATATGAGTGCAATAAATGAAGTATTAAGTTTATAGACTAAAATTGATGGTAGGAATGAAATACAAGAGTTGCGTATTTGATTTTTAAAGTTGTCTATGGGTGGTATATGGAAGTCAAAATGGGTATTCGAGTCAGGTTCAGGTCGAACATGGAATTGACCACCCGGGTCCAATTCAACTTACTAGAGTCTGAGCCGATTTTATAAAAGAGTAAAAAATACAAACTCAAACTCGACCCGACCCTCTAACTCGAAATATTGCTAGGCGTGAGCGAGTTCGGGCTTGAGTGCATGCGGGGGAAGGGGGTGTGAGCTGGCGAGCTTACAAGAGAGGCAACGAACTATACTTACGTGGGAGTGGGCGAGTGTTTGAGCGTAGGAGTAGGCACGGGAGCAGTGCAAGTCTAGGTGCTGATTCTAGTGCGAGAGGGCTAGCCGTAGTGTGCTGGTGCGAGCGTGAGAAGGCTTGAGTGTTGCATGCCACGAGTGACCCGGGTTATTTTTCAGGTTGATTTCGAGTATCCGGGTCAATCCGAACTCGACTTGATTTTAGCAACAGGTTAGAAAACAAAAACCAAACCTGGCCCATCTGCAAACAGGTTGAACTGAACCGGGAATTTTCCTGGTTGAGCCCGAGTTGGATTCCAGGCCTGGTCAAGTATTAACAATCCTAAAATGATAGGCATGAAATATTAAAGATTTGAGCAATAGATATATAAATAGCATGATATAAAGTGGTATTTATTTAAATCCTCTTTTGAAAACTACACAAGTAAAAATTATTTGACCCAACTAAAAAAATCCAAGATAAATCTTCATAATAAAAAAATTCTTAGATGTGAAGAAAGATAAAAGTACAATGCTCTTTGGTTGCATCACAATAATAGAGGAAATAACCTATCGTTGCCTCTTCTAACTACAAAGACTGAGAAAGGGCTTTGAAAGCTTAGTGGGTTAGTGCATCCATGGAGGGATGGCAAGGCAAGAGATTGCAATGCTCGCATGAATACATCACAACAATGGAGCAATGGACTTCTTGATGCTCGCCTAGTTGCATTGCAATTAATGCCGGCTTGGTTTACACATCTATGGTAGGAAGACAAGATCCACAAGACAAGAACAATGATGCCAATTTTCCAATGCTTGTGTGACTAGCATAATAGTGTAGCAAGGGACTAAGGATTCGTTTGAAAAAGCTGCTTTAAGAAGCAGTAAGAAAGCTGTCACAAACGAAGCCTAAATTCTAACGTAGATAGTCAACATGGGGAGGACGAAGTACCACTCAATTCAAAGGAAGCCTTAGGTTTCATTTGGGACAGCTTTCGTACTGCTTTTTAAGACAGCTCTTTAGTAAAAAAAATTAAATTAAAGATTAATAAAATGCAAAATAAAAATTCAATCATGAATAACAATGTGATATCATAATAAGCTTTATATAAGTTAAATGATTATATGCTAAAGCATGTAACATACTAAAGTGTTTGTCTACACAAGTAATGGCATGAGAGTTTCATCCATAATGGATCATAGAGATCAAGGAAACACTTCATTTATGTAAAAAGCTTGTCTTGCCTCTCATCAAATTATCTCCTTTTATCATAAGGACCAAAGTTCATTTTAGGCACAACTTGATTCTATATGTTTTCTATTGGAGAGATTATTCCGTGCAGAGAATGGATGCAGAACGCCGTCCGAAAAACAACCAAAATTACTCATGTCAGCGATACCGAGCCGCGGTACCGAGCATAGGGGTGACATGACGCATTCTGATTGGTCTCGAAACGAAGTTCTACATCCGCACAAAATAATTAATCCTTTTATTGATTGTAACCCTATAGTTATACTCTTAACACTTCTATTAAGAAAAAAAAGAGCAATAATAATAATAATAATAAATTTAGTAATATTGCATAATTTTTTTAGCGGTATCAAAATGGCTTGATAGATTAGGTTCGTGCCCAATTTGAATCCTATCAGCTTGAATCCAACCTATTTAATGAATGAATCAAAAGCACAAACCCGAACTCAACACACTAACAATCGAAATACCCAAACTCAACCTGTTAACTTGTTTTGGTCAAACAAAAAAAATTAACTTATTAAGCATAAATTTTAAAATATTTGATAGAAAATAAGAAAGTTATACCTACGAGAGAAAAATTTAGGTAAAAAGATATTAAACATATATTTTTTTCAACAAAAAAATGTATTTATGAGTCAACCTGAATACAACCCTTTTAATAAACAAATAAAAAATTAATTCAAATTTGACTTATTTATTAAACAAATCAACTCAAATTTTAATTTTTATGGATTAAATTTCAGTCTAATTGATGAAAGAATTATTTATTGGCACCTCTAAACTTTTTTTTTTTTTTTTTTTTTTTTCATTTTTACAAGTGCATGTGGATCTTAAGCCCAAATCTTTGTTATTTGCAGCTCTCACTATAGAAAGGAAGTTAGGTTGTTTATTTTCTTCCTTTGTAATCTATATCTCAAGCTACTCGATGATTACTTCGTCAATTCGGACTTCCGAAATCGATCCTGGAAAATAGAATCTAGGGTTTCGATTCTAGTGTCATCTCCTTCTCCTTCTCATCGCAGATTTTCGAATTCGATCAAGTCAAATCGGCACCTGTACTCGTTTACTTTCCTTCTCCTTCGCTCCGCACTCTCTCATTTCAGATCGCAGCCTGTGCCGGTCCTTCATGGGCAGGGCCGTCGCCTCGTCCAAATCCAAGAAGAACTCTGAGGAGGTCTGAATTGTACAATTTTTAAACGTTCATTCGCTCGCTCCCAAAGTATGCAGTTTCTGACCCTGGTTCTATTCTTGTTATACAGGATCGGCGGAAGCGGAAGAATCCCAAATCCCGAAAGAACCGCCGTGCTTCCTTCTCGTCATCCTCCTATTCCTCTGACGCCGATGATGTCTCCCGGGGTCGACGAAGGTCCCGACGGAAACCCGAGAAAAGACGGGGCAGAGATCCGAAGCGATCTTTGAAGAGGAAGAGCCGCAAAGCTCGCCGCCGAAGTGTCAGTGCAGCGAGCAGGGATTCTAGCTCCAGCTGCTCGACTTGCCGTAGCCGGAGCAGCGGTTCGTTGAATAGATCGAGAAGTCCTGCGCGGGGGCGAGATGACAGGAGAGATAAGTTGAAGAAGAAAGTTAAGCGAGGTAGGAAGCTGGATAGGGTTGTTAGGAGTTTGAGAAGTAGGAATCGGTCTCTCAGTTGTTCTACTTGTAGCGGAAGTAGAGAACCTAGTCAGACACCTGGTCACAGAGAGGCAAAAAATAAGGAGAGGGATGGTTCTAGGCAGATGGGATCGTCTTCTGTTGTTGAATCACGAGGGGAAGAGGAGGAGAGGTATGGGATTGGGGGCAGGGAGATAGGAAATGTGATGGTCATGGCAAATTATGATGATTCGCAGCTTCCTAGAACAAATGTTGGGCGCAATGTGGATAGCGTAGAGGAAGATAGGGTGATGGATGAGGGTTCTTATGAACAAGGAGCTGAGATAGATAGGTGGATGAGTGAAGGTAATGTTGAGAATGAATCTTATTTTGATCAGTTTGAAGACAATGCAACACAGGCATCTGAGCACTATAAAGAGCCGGAACCTAATACAAAGCTTTCAAGTTGGATAAGGAGTGAGATTGTTGCTACTGATAACCATGATTCTGACTCCGATGATTTGGAGTTAATGCTCAGGCAGAAGGCTTTAGAGAATTTGAAGAAGCTCCGTCGCGGTCCCTCATCAGACAACAGAAGTACTGAAGATAGGAAAAATGAGATAGCTGGAGTTGAATCTTCAGAAAAACAATGTGAAACTGCAAAAAAAATAATTTCTTCACCAAAATCCCGCTCCATTGTTTTTAATGAGAGACGCGTTCAATTGGGGGTTCCCTCACATGACTCCAAGGTGAATCCTGTCATACAACTGCCATCTCTGGAGGCTAATACATCTGATAAAAAGATGCTATTTAGTCGTTTGGATCAGAGTAGAAACTCCAAACAGTTGGAAAGTAGCACAAGCGGCCAAAGCACTTCAAATCTGCTGAACAACATGGAAGATTCTCCTGAGAAGATGTCACATAAGCAGTCTCCATGTAGAGTTTCTCAGGAAAAGAATACTACTGAAGGATGTGGAAGTGGTAATAGCCTTAAGTCTGAGGTAAATTTAGGTGATGGGAAAGAAAAAATCCGTGAAAACAATGAAACTGTTGATGAATGTCAAAGTGGATCTCAATTTGAGCAGAAAACTTTTTCTAGAATGCATGATGGAGAAATGGTTCAGGTTAGTTATGATATGATTGCGCAAAACTTACCCTTGTTCTTGGTACATTTCTGAAGTTTGTGATCCTGGACATCACTTTGAGAGCAACTTGTTTGAATTCTCTTCCATGCATTTGTTTTCTTTTTATGCTTGTATGATTATTTTCATTTTGCAGGTAAGTTACAAGGTCTACATACCAAAGAAAGCCCCAGCTTTGGCTCGGAGGAAATTGCAGCGGTGAAAGATATTCAGTCGTAATAGCGCTTTGAGCTCTTAAATAATCTGTCAGAACACATTCCTTTTTCTTCTTGCCTATTTACAGTAGCTAGACATGCATAGGTTTTTATTTATTTTATTTTTTTTCAAAACCATGCTTTATCGTTCTATCTTTGATATACATTGCTTAACTACGTGAATATTTAGGGGCATTTTTTTTGAATTTCTAGATTCTTTGAAATGCATTGCTTAGATTTTGATAATTATGTCTGCTTCTAGATTAGATTAATTAGTAAAGGGGCGCCATTGAATTTATCAAAAATATGAGATGGATATTAAATAAGCCTTCATGCATATGTGTGTTATACATATTTTGCTATTTCTAGATTCTTTGAAATGCATTGCTTAGATTTTGATAATTATGTCTGCTTCTAAATTAGATTAATTAGTAAAGGGGCGCCATTGAATTTATCAAAAATATGAGATGGATATTAAATAAGCCTTCATGCATATGTGTATTATACATATTTTGCTATAAATTTAGAATGAAAATTATGGATTGTTTGATTAAAGTTATCTCATTAAATTTATCTTTAATAAAACCCATTCTTGATTTGTCAAAGGTGTATGAAGGAGCAAGTTTCATTTAAAAAAAAGTTTGTAAAATACATGCTATACTTATGAAGGAAAAAAAATTCATATATTTTTAGTAACTTCTTAAAGATACAAAAATGAAACTTTTTTTGAATAATTCGTATGTACGAGTGTTATACAAGTATAATATGAAAATTTACTATTACACTAACTAATATTAGGTTAGTTGTAGAGTGAATAAAAACTTTATATTATAGTGGGATTATATCAGTGATCAATGTTTGAGTTCAATCTTTTTATATTAATTATAAGAAAGTATATGTATTAGATTTGATTTTTGTTAATAAGGGTAGAGGTAGACCTAAAAAGATTTGATTAGAAAATATTAGAAATGATCTTTCTTTATTAGATTTAAATGAGAATTCAACTTTTAACAGGGCACAATGGAGAAAAAGGATTCAAGTAGCCGACCCACATAGTGAGATAAAGGTTTGATGTTGTTGTTATTGTTGTTGTAGTAGTATAGAGATGCTTATAAAAGCTTGTACAATATATTATAAATGAGGTGCTTTTGTGCATGAATTTCATAGATAACATAGTTTTAAAAAAAATAGGATTCGTAGAATAACTATAATAAAAATTAAATATTTTGTTTGCACTTTTAGTGGGGGATGTTAATAATTATCAATCCAATACTATTTTATGATAAAATAATGTTTGTGGTGATATGTTTAAATATCTTGTATCTATTATATAAAAGAATGATACATATATGAGGATATAACTTTCAAATTTAAAGCTTGTTTGTTAAAATGGATAAGTATCTGAGGAGTATCATGCAATAAAATATTATGAAGACTTGAAGGTAAAACTTAGAATATTGCATTTTTACTGACTATGTTTTATGGATCAAAATATTGGACAGTAAAGAGGTTTTAATTACTAAATTGAGCCAACAAAAATAAAAATGCTAAGATGGATACATAATTTGGAAGTGTAATTTAAAGAATCATTATATTAGGGGGATTGTTGAAATTAAATCTATTACAGCCAAGTTAGTTGAAACTATACTTAGTTGGTCTGAATAAATATAAAGATGGGTAGAAAATTCAATCATTAGATAGGCAGATAAAATTAATTTCTAAGTATTAAAAAGAAATATACACTTGAAGGTTGATGTTTAAACAAAAAGAGTGGAAAATAACCAATTTGAAACTTTTGCCTGGCAAACATCCTGTATACTCTTTGAAAATAAAATTTAGAGTTCTTAATGAAGGAGAATGATCATATATTGAAGAGTGTGTATATATGTTCTTGTAATTTTATTGAAGGTTGAGACTTTTTCTCACCTTAAAATTGCCAGATAAATAGGAATAAGGTTGAGGTAAATGAAATTTTTAGGAGTTTGGTGGCGGCCCATGAAGTATAGTAGGAAAAAATTGCCCTACCCACCCTTAGCTAAATCATATCTTTTTTTTTTTTTTCGCTAAATCATATCTAACAACAAATGTAGCTTCTTTTTTGTCGACTGGGATGCTGAGAGTGATTCAAAGCATGTCCTTAGTGTGATTAGGTGTTTGCAATAGCTCCTAATTGTAATGTTTCTCTATGATAGATCTTCTTCTTTCCTTTTTTTTCTTTCGGTCGGTATGTACTTACTCTTTAGATTTCAAGATGAAAAACAAAGATCTTGAAAACTAAACCATTAAAACTACTGCATTAGAGGAATAAATGTGCTTAGTAAGATTTTAGATTCAAAATCACAAAGCTATACCAATTGGTGTTCAGAATTATGAGGTTCCTTTGCTACAACAGTTTATCATCAACATCTTAGATTGTACATGAAGTTAGAGCTATGTAAAGTCATTTCATTAAATAAACCCCAACAAATCTTTTATTACAAATTTATTACAAAATCTGAGTTATAGTGTATCTCCTTCCACTTGATACCTCCCTGATTAGAGGAGATCAAGACATCTTTCCTGGCTATCAGTGACTCTTCCATGCGACAGACCCTCTGTTGATGGTGAGATTATTCTGTGCGGTTACCGGACACCGTCCGGAGGCGAGTCAAGATGCGCAACGTCATTTTTTTGTTATGTGCCGGTATTATGTACGGGATGATGTGTCACATCCTGATTTGCTTTTGGACGGTCCGGTGACCGCATAGAATAATTTCTCCGGTTGATGTATGTCATCACTGGAACACACTATTGCTAGCCTCATCGTATGCTTTTGATGCCTTTTTCTTATTATTTGCAATATATACACAGTTCATGCAGGAGATTGCAACTCATAAAAGAGTTTTACTGGTTTCCGTTGGGATATTTTTCAGTGCTCCGCTATTTGACTGCCTTGTTCTTATTCCTTGCGTAGGAGGAGATGTAATTATTCTGGGAAAACTAAGTTGATGGCCTCGCCATTAAGCGGATCAATGGCATTTGGCTCTGTTGCTCCAGCAAGAGAGCCAAAGGAGATGGAGTCATGACTGAGGCCTGAAATCAAAGAATGAGAGGAAGGACAAAGGTAAATGTAATTGATCATTCTTCTCATAGTGTTTGGCTGCATTATAGAGCATAGTGGTTGGGGAGGGAAAGATGTTAAACTGAAATATTTCAAATACAATATTTTAGGCAGTTGTTTATTTATTTATTTTAATCAAATTTGATCTGCATTTTGCTTTAGTAAAGAGCTTATTTATGTTTGATTTAGGCTTTTTTTGGGACAGCTTTTTTTGTTGCTTTCTAAAGCAAATTTGTAGTACATAAATTTCATGAATTAGAAATTTTTTAATTAGAAAGTCGTTTTAAAAGTAGTAAAAAAATTATCCTAGGCTTTATTTGGGATAGCTTTCCTCCTATTTTTAAAAATAAAATTTAATTAAACTTTTCTAAACTATTTTTTTTAAATAATAAAAAAATCGTCCTTTTTAATATCTTAGCCTAGCAATATCAAATTAACATATTACTGCCATTCTGACGAGGAAATCACAAACCAATAAGTTTAATTAAATTTTATTTAACATATTTTAGGAGATATAAAAAGTAAATCTATAAAGTTTTGTTTAGAAGATATCCGTGATATTTTTTTATTAAATTTAAATGAAAATTTATTGAATGATTATCTAATATTACTTTAACTTTTATTATTTTTAATATTTTTTTTATTTGTTATAAAAGAATAAAACATTTCAACTAAATTTGATGTATTTAATTACTTTAAATATTTTTTTTTAATTTTATGAGCAATAAATGCATTACTTTATAAGATTTTTTTATATTTATTTGATATATAATGATTATATAATTTCTTTAATTTTAACATATATTATTATAATGCCGAGTTTTATCAGGTAAATACCTTGAACTCCTGCTCGTGCATAATAAAAATATCAATTCTATTTGAAGTTCTATGCACAACAAAATTCAAATAAATCACTAATACGACAAAAATGAATTTAAAATCATTTATTTTCACCTCCATGAGCTAAATTTAAATTCTTAGATTTCATTTTGTGGCCAATTAGAACAGCATAAAAATAAAAATAAAAACTTATTTCGCTAAATTTATTAGAAAAAAAAAATCTGCTCATAAATACAGCATCAAATTGGTAATAAATCAAGCACCAATATGATATGTACACTGCTAGAGTTGATTAAATATCCAAAATACAACCTGAAATTAAAAGAAAAAACAAAGATATGTGTTGTAACTAAAATGCATTAAGATCATGCTCAGCTTGGCCTTGCCACCTGCACAAGAACAAAGGAACATTCAGCTAATAAATTATCCAAATGATCACCGGGAAAGATTAATTATTATGTGCAGACGTCAATGACTTTCGGAGACCAATCAGAATGTGCCACGTCACCCATGTGCTCGGTACTGCAGCTCGATACGACTCGGCGCTTCTGATGTGGCTCATTCAAGTTGGTCTCCGGACGACGTTCTGCGTCCGGTCTCCGGACGACGTTCTGCGTCCGGTCTCCGCACAGAATAATTTCTCCTGGTGAAGGTAATAAGAATTTGAATTCATGGCGACCTTGAAATGAGGAACCTCGCGAGCGGGCTAACACTCGAATTGTCTGCTGGTTGCACATTTGGTTTCTTTTTGCTCTCCGACGAGTCATGTGTGGCCTCGCTGTACCTCGAAAATATCCGACCGGCCAGATCTTGAAGATTTTTCATGGAAGTTTCTTTAGAACTGTATGGAAGAGAATATCTGATTAGCATTAGGCACACCAAAGTATAAATGCCATGAGGGAAGAAGTAAATGGTTGGCCTGATAAATGAATGAAGAGAGAACCTTCCCAGTCGCTGAAGTAATCTGCACATAAGAGCTTCAGAAACCCCTGGCTTCTGTAGCTCCAAGTTCATGAGTGCTTCGATTGAGCCACGAGAAATCGATCCATCAGATCTATCACCAGCAGCCTGCATGATATCAGAGAATGATGACTAGAAGAGCTTCAACTATGACTTGGGTATATGGGGGTGCTAGAGGCAAGGCTGAATTTAGGAACATTTTGACAGTAAACATTATAATAAAATCAGATTTTATCATCCTAAATTCTATTTTAGATTGTTCTATGATTGTGACAAATGCCTCTAGTTGCTAGTCAGCAAAACAAACTGCTGCGAGAAATCAATGCCTCTAGAGCTCTTCTTATGATTGTCACAAATGCGTTTGTATTCCCTCTCTATATATTTGGTTCGTTATCGTGTTTCTTTTTTTTTTATAAATATTTTGATTTTAAGTAGTCAAATAGATAGCAAATTGAAGAAATTATTACGGATGGTCACCAAACTGTCTGTTCGGAGACGAATCAGAGTACACCACATCACACGGTACACAGAGGTACACAATACCAGTACATAGTAAAATGATGATGTGGCTCGTCTTGATTCACCTCCGGACAGCGTTCGATGACCGCATGTATCCTATACACAACATAGATTTCTATGCCCAGGTCAGTCTCATTTATGAAAATAGCTCTTTTCATGGGTCATTTTAAGATTCCTTTAGTATCCTATACACAACATCAAAGTTCTCCTCTATGGGGTTATTTATAATCGAGCTAACAACATTCATAGCAAACAAATATCAGAGCTAATATGAGATAGATAAATGAGTTTCCCTATAAATCATTTGTATCGAACTTTGTCAACATGAGTTGAATCTTGTTTAATCCTTTTTTTAATGATCCCTTTGTGTTTTTGTAGGCTTGCATCCAAGCATTCCAATTTCCTTTGGTAAGTCTTGATCTAGTGATTTCCATGCCTACGAAATATTTTAATGAGCCAATATCCTTTATTTTCAAATTCTTAAGCTAAGATGCATTTTAGCTTTTTTATCTCTTCTTTGTGATCTTCTATTATGATGATACAATTAACATAAACAGTTAGCATAGAGAGTTTACCTTCAAACAATTTCTTGGTATATAAAGTGTGATCAGATTGCCCTTGAGACTAATCATATATTTTTATCACCATGGTAAATCCATTAAACCAAGCTCTTCTTGATAATTTTAAGTCATAAAAAGTTCTTGAGCCTGCAAACTTGGTTCATATTACTCTTATTCTCAAATTTATGAGTAATTCTCATATAAACTTCATCATCTAAGCCTCTATATAGAGAGGCAACTTTACATCTAATTGGTAGACTGACTGATATAAGCAAAAAACATGAGAGAAATTATTCAGATAGTGTTCATCTTAGCAAATTGAGATAAAGGTTTCTGTATAATCAATGCCATGAATTTGACTGAAGCCTTTTTTCACATCTTACTCTGTGTCAGTGTATACTTCTATTTGTTTTGCATTTAACATTAAAGAGCCAATCACACTCGACAGCTTTTGTCCCTTTTGGAAAGATTTGAGACATTCCAAGTACCATATATTCAAGGCCTGAATTTCTTCGTGAACTGCGATTCTCCATTCAATAATTTTTACAGCATTTTGAATATTGTTTAGAATTTCCAAGCTAGAAAGATATGTAATAAAAATGTAAAACTTATGAGATAATATATCATAGGAGATATTGGAACTTTTCTCGAGAGCAACAATAAGCATGCTCATCAGAATCAATATTACCTTGTCCTGCTGTATCAATGTCAGGACTAGGTTAGATATTGCTTTGTTCAGAAGAAATGCTTTGTTCTACCTTAACGGTTGATTTTTCCTGTCATTTGCAATAGACAATCCCTTTATGACTTGCTCGTTATATTTGATATTTAAAAGGCTAAGATTCAGGTAGGTTTGAAAGAGGTTTAGGTTAAGATATCAACAAGGCGAACTGATATTATCACAGAGATAGTTGATGTTCTCCCCCATTTGAGCTTTAGGGAAGAATGATTGATTTCAAGGAATATTACTTCCACAGCAATGTAATACTTTTCAATACTATGAGCATAACATTTGTATCCTTATTGGTGAGAAAATTAGCCAACAAAAATGCATTGTATGACTTTTGGGTCTAATTTATTTCTTTAATCAAGTGGAATATATATAAAGGCAGAGTAGCCAAACAAATTAATAGAAATAGTAGAGATAGCTCTATTTAGGGGATAGACATAAGTGAGAGTTCGTCAAGGAGTTTTGAATTCTGTAAGTAGCAATGGCATATGATTAATGAGATATGTAACAATGAAGATAGCCTACCCCTAATAACATTTTGACGCATTAGTTGTGATCTCGAGAAGATGTTTATTTTTTTTCTACTATATCATTTTGTTGAGTATGAATATAAGAAGTTTAATGAATAATTTCTTGTAGGAAGATATATTTTTTAAGCATTGAATGAAAATATTAATTCCCATTTTCAATCCAAAAGACTTGAATTTGGGCTAGGAATTAGGTCTTATGGAGTGAAACTTTTGAAAGAAGAGTTTGATTCCTGACTTATCCTTCATTTAAAAGATCCAAGTAGGTCTAATGCGAGCATCAACGAACGATATAAACCATCTAGCACCCAAGGTGGGCACTATATGTAACAATGGATTGTTGTAAAATGAATGTGAGGCTTTATAGGGATTACTATAGTAAATTTGATTGTTTAGGTTATTGACAAGCTAGACATTTGAATGCCTTTTGATAAAAAAAGAAGAAGCATGGAATAATATTTATAGGTATCTGAAATTTGAATGACCAAGACAAAAATGTCACAACATGAATGCGCTTTCATTGAAGGAAGATATATACTGAGCATTTTTATTTGCCTTTCAGAATTCTCTTTATAATCTGCGAGATAGAAAATATCAGTTTCCTTCGCCTTGTTGATTATCTCCCTCAAGTCTTTATTTCGAATTCAAAATGAATACAAAAAATAGGGGAAAAGGATCAAAACAGTCTCTTAACTCTTTATGAAGGACAAAAATACTCTCCAACTATATTAAATGACCATTTTGGTCCATTAAGTCCTTAAAAAGGAACCAAAGTTGGTTCATCTTAAAAGAGTTGAAGGATCAAATGGTCGTTTAATATAATTGGAGATCATTTTGATTTTTCATAAAAAATCAAGGAAAGCTTAGGAACCAATAGAACTAATTATGAACCAGAGAGCGGCACAAATCGTTCCAAGGCCAATTACTTGCAATGTTATTGATGGGGACATCAGCAGCGATTTCGACACATGTACCTCCAGGAGATGCCGGAGATCGACGACCACGGTCATGATCTGTATTTTCATCATTTTATGTAGTAATTTTTTTTTTATTTTATGTTTTTTCGTTTTTGCCCTTATGGGTATTTGGTAGCTATTGTAGCCCAAGGGGCATTTTAGTATTTTACTTTCTTTGTCATTTTGAGGCCTATTTATATGGCCATTTTCTCATGTAATAGTTAGTTTTGATAAATGAAAATTTTCTTATGATGATTCTCTTTGTGAGTTCATGAAGCCTCTAAAGATCTCTTTGTGAGTTCTTGAAGAGGAGATCGCCGGAAATCTTTTTGAGTTCTACCGGTGGAGTGGTTTTCAAGGTTTGTCGTTTGAAATTTCCTGTTTTTTTCTCTCCAATCCTTTCTTCCCCTACATAGCCGAATTTTCCCTTCTCTTCTCAATTTTCCACCACCATACAAGCTCCACCGCCGGCCTCCCTTGGCCGGCCCAGCCACCGGCGGACCTCCCAGCACCCCAGCCGCCTGCCTTCCCTCCCCACAGCTTCCACGACCACCCCACACCAGCCGCCGACCAACCAGTTTTCAAAATTTGAAATCCAAGTTCAAGCCATAATTTCTTTCCTAATCTACCTCCTTATCAATTAGGAAAGCTGCCTTTGTTTTTTTTTTTTTTTTCTTATTTCTTTTTCATTTAACCGATAAGTCCAACGTATACAAGCCATTTAGGAAACTTTCCCTGTAGAGCAAATCTGAAATCCAATTTCAGATTTGTTTCTTCCGTGAGTTATTCTCTAGAGGGCCCACTAAATTACAATTAATTGCTCTCAGCTCTCCATATGGCCGGCCACACCTCCTCTTTTCCTCTCTCCACTCCCCACTTAATCACTAATTAATTACCTCCTAAATACCTCCCCATCCCTAACGTGATTTTCAGTTTTTATTTTTTAGATTTCAAATCTGAGCTTTGAAAACAAATCTTCCCTCTCTCCTCTAAATAAAAATCTGAAAGCCGATTTCAGCTTTCTCCCACCTGTCTCCCTCCTTTTTCTTCTCAGGCAAAATCTGAAGAGCTTGCTCCCCCTCCCCTCTCAAGAGGAAATCAGAGGTACACCTTGCTGGAATCAAGGCGTGAAGGCTCCTTCCAATTTCCCTTGCTCCTAAGCCATTCCTCTCAGGTTTTGAATAGGAAACCTGAAGAAAATTTTCCAATTCTTTTGTGCATCTTCCCGCCTGACAAGGATGCATGGCGGAGCCCGAATGGAACTTTGGATTTGTGTATGACGACCAAGATCAAGTTGACATCCTCCAATCACCGTTCTTTTACGTGGGCTTCGATTTCGACGATACCATTGAAGATTACATCGACCGTATCCATTACACCTTAGTGGATGTGATCCACGAGCAAAGAACAAAGGGACGTTGGATCATCCTTGGACGACCGTCATCCTCCATCACTCCAGCCACCTATCCAAGAACGACGATCTTAGGCCCTTTCTTCCTCGGAGTGACCTCGGTTCTAATGTGGAGACTCTTCTTCCGCTAAAGCCTAGACTAGTTGAGCGTATGGGCTCCAAAGGTGAAAGTTCTCTTTATTAAATCGCGGATTCTTGTTTATCGTCGTAGTTTTACAATTGCTCTTTGCGTTTTCTTAAATTGTTTGGTTAACTGACTTCGCTCTTCTTTGCCTAAGCAAGTTAAAAACTAAGAACTCTAAGGATCAATCTATTGCTATAAGTGATAATTTTATTTTGGATTATTTTGTTAAATTTGCTCTCTTTAATTTTCTTAAAGTAACTCCACCATGATCGCATGTTTGTTTCACATCAGTTATCCACCGACAATTTTTACGAAATAGAACTTCAAATAAGAATGAAGTATTTGACATGAGGAGACATCCCCTATCATATAATCAGAGGCTCCATAATCCACAATAAAAAAAAATTATGGATTTCAGTTTTGAACATTAAAGACATTCAAAATCATACATTTTAACAATTACATTGATAAATTCTGGTGTTGAAGGCTTTGATTTGAATTGAGATAATCAAAGATTCGGAGAAAGCTATTTGGTACTAGTGTTATCATGAGATCTTGATAACAAAGGAGTGTCTTCTTACCAATGTCAGTTCATGTCTAACTATCAACATAGTTTAAACAAAAAAAAATCTTAAGAGAAGATCATGAAGACTTGGAATATTTTGAGATGGTGTGGAAAATAGAGAGGTGTGTCTTTGATATTATGTTGAAAAATATAAAAAAAGAATTCGGTATATTTTATTATTACAATGGACAGAAGAGATATAATATTCATAAGAGAATAATCATAAAAAAGGAAGATAATTAATCTAATTAATTAGAATCAACTCGGGGTTTAAAAATTTAGTTTACATAGGGAAAATAGTGGTTGGTGGGCTAAATATGGAAGGTGGAATAGTAGCAAATTGCAAAGATGACTAATCACATGGTTAGCGACATTTATCTCTAGCAAAGGAGGTGCAAGAGCTACAGATTACCATGATGGCGCTATCCGTACAGTAGCTATGGATGGTGAAAGTAGCTCAATAGAATTGAATGTTGAATTTGATATGATATTTTCAGGATTTCCATAAGTATCTTGCTATTTATTTTATTTAAACTCATGATATTCTTTAGTGAATAACAAATGGACAAATATATATATATATATATATATATATATATCTTCCGCCACCCCCCTATCTAAAACATCATCCATAGTTAGCTCCTTTTCTCCATTCAACCTTTCTCCATTCAACCAAGCATAATGGATTGCTCAACGACCAATATCATCGAATATCAAACTTAAGGACCCGTGTCATCGAATATCAAACTTGCAACGAAGATCATTCATTGAGAAATTCATATAAATTTGTAGAGAGGGCCATCACCGCGAAGCACTGAGCTTTAGCAAAGGCGAGATAATCAGTTGCAGCTTTTATCCTCTTTAAAGGGAGACCAGCTTAGTGACAGAAGCAACCATTAGACCACATGCAAGTTTGGCTATACATAGCCTATCCAAATTATAAATAAAATGGCACTGCATGCATATAGTAATTATTTCTTATGCTGAATCTTAGCAAATATTATTCTTCTGAGAAGTGCGAGGTAAATAGGCCAGCTTGAACCATACTTAAGTGAACTTGAGACATGCTGAACCACGAGGGTCCAACCGCACATGCATGCCGGCCCACCCGCACCCATGCCCACACCCCTTTGGTGAGTTTAATTCATATCCCAAGCTTGAAGAATATTATAAATTGATATGACTTAGAAATTGAATCAAATGTGATTATAGTTTGATGTTCCATTTTTTAACTAAAAATTTAAATGCCTGATGTTATCAAAGAGATTTTTAACTTTTATTCTTCCTTAATTCATATTAAAGGAAATTAGTTAAATTTTACCAACGTACTTTTATTCTAATTGCGTTGTCCAGCGCCTTGCAGATACGCCTTTTGATTCAACTTATTATAAAAGATTCAGTCATATGCTATAATCGGTTTCATTGAAGAATATATCATGCTTATTATAAGCCAATCCTTTCTATGAGAAAAAATAAATAAATAAGTAAAAAATCAAAATATAATTAAATTAATCCTATTGCTTAACATATTTTCAAAAACCTTTCAGCTCTTACCTCTTTCAATGAAGGAATAATCAGTAATGACAATGTAGGAGAAGCAGCTGCAGCAGAAGCCTGGGCACTTCCATCACCATCACTGTAGCGTGATTTTGAAGAAGGTTTTTGAACATCAGAGATCTCAGAAGAATCCCTGGATAAAAAAAATTAAGTACCAGAAAAAAAAAAAAAAAGCATTTCAATAAAAACCTGACTCAATGGTTGAAAAATAAATATGTAAAGGTAAGGGTAAAAGAAATTAAAAGGAGAGAAATAATCAAGCATGAGTGGTTATTACATACCGGGAAGATTTGGCTAGCGGCCGAGAACTACCTTTTTTTAAACCTGCTTGCAATGCAGCCTTTGCCTAAATTTGCAATAAAAAAAAATCAAGATTGTCAAAACTTGAATGAAAAGTAGTATGAGCAAAAAAAATACTATATATATATATATATAAATCCAGATGGAGGAAGAACCTCTGCAAGGTTAGCTGCACTATCTTCCGGCGGGGCAGCTGAAGTTTTCTCTTGGATTCCCAATCTAGATTTTGACCCGGGAGAGGTGTCCGTTTCATCATGTTGAGTGCGAAGAACAACTGTTCCACTGATAGAAGCCTCTTCAAACGAACCGTGTCTGCTCATAGGCTAACAAACGGGATTGATTACTTAGGGATCAGTAAATGTCTTTCCGTTATCCAATTAATATTCAAAAGTTCAAATAAAATCCCACGAGAATGAAAAAATAACTGGATACCTTGGAGCTCAAACGGTTGATCGCTGAATGTATTAAACTTGCTCTTGGAGATCGGATCACGACCGTTCCAGACCCGTCTAATGGTTGATAATCCTATAAGCATGAAACTTTGGTCAGCTTGAGGACAGATGAGAACTAACAAGATTATCAAGCAAGAAAAAATACATCTTCAGTTGAAATTTCCTGTCTTTTATCTTTCAGTTCTTCATCCTGACAGTACAAATCCTCAGAGTTTTGTTCATCAAACGCAGTTATTGATGATGGTGTCTTTTGTTTCTCTTTATCCAATGCTTTTCTTGAGAGGTGGGAAGCATATCGAACCTCAGATCTCTTCTCTCTAACTGTGGAATCCTGGAGTGGCTTTACAGCACTGCGAACAGTTCCTCTACCCTGCTGTGAATCCCAGTCAATGCTCTTTGAGACGTTCCAATGACTGCACAAAAATACAGAGTGGGTAATGAAAAACTGAATAGATTAATAATAAAACTTCCACAACATAAAATTTTCATGCCTTTGTTGTGCATTCTCATCTCTGACTGCTTTGACAGTGCCAGTTCCTGTACCCTGTAATGCATCCATGCCAGAATCCCCACCATGGATCCTTGAAACTTTTCCATGACTAAACCGCAATACATACAAATCATGAAAACCTAAATAGCGTAACACTTGGGAATTACACTGTCAAATAATAGCATACCTTGCTTGTGCTGTTTCATCTCTTGAATCTCTGACTGCCTTGACAGTTCCAGTTCCTTCATCATATTGAGGGGGTCCATTTTTCTGAGTTCCCATCTTCTCTTTCGGGAAAAACTTTGGCCGTTCTCTATCATGTTAAGAGAATTACATGAGGCACATACTTACTTTTGTACATCCATGGATTAATTGGTGATTATTGATCAAGAGGTAAGAAATTAAAAGCTTTTTTGACCTTATTCTTTCGAGAAGCTTGAGACTTTTTCTAGCAGTTCTGATAAATCGATGTTTAAGGAGTTCCTTAGCACTTGGCCTCTGTGGTGACAATGTAAGCACAATTTACACAATATGCATGCAGCAGGCTGGAAAACAGATATTCCTTAAAATACTAAATAAAGCAGCTAATGTTCATCAATAAAAAGATCTGGTAAAAGGATTCTGGAAAGATTTGTTTCATGTTAATGAAGGATTTGAGTTATGTTTGAAAAGATTTGGCAGCATAAGATTAACAAGGATATGGTGAGATCTTAGAAATGATTTGGAGAACTAATTAGGAAATATTGGATGCTAATTTAGAAATGTTTAGGACACATGGAGATGGCCTAGGAGAGGGATTGAACCTGTGTGCTGCAAGGCGAGTATAGGTTCACAATTTTGAGGCAGCAGGATCATATTGAATGCTCAAAGGTGTGAATGCAAGCGGGGGCTCACAAGTTTGACTGCTGATTTCAGTATGCTTGTTCAGCATTTGAACAAACAAATTACACTTGCGAAATGTTCCTAGAGGTATGGAGTAGCCAAAACAGCAAAGTGAACATCAGTATGTAGCTACCAAATCAAACTGAATTTCAGCAGACAAGTAGTAATTTTCTGCATGAAATAGCATAGAGAGACAGAACGTCCTGAGTTTCAATACATGAACATGTAATTTCAGTAAAACAGATCCTCATCATGCAAAGTTCAGCGAACAAACTTTGGAGTGATGTTTCAATTCTTTAATCAATATGAAATAGAAGGATCATTTATCTCTGATACTACCTGATATAAACTAGGATGCGAGAAAGAGGGAAAAACCAACATCCACCGAGAAGAAAGAAAAAAAAGAGTGAGAGAGGCACAGGTAGATAGAAGTCAAAATTTACTTGCAATTGTAGTAATTACAATTACTTACAAGTTTCCCCTATTTATAAAATGAATTTAACATGTGATAAAATCATAAAAAGGAGATTTACATCATGAAAGTAATAAAGCAACACTTGAATACATCTTGTCAACTGAATAATCACAACAAAGCAGGTATTGACATGTCATAAAATGGCAAATTCAAAATAGGAAGGTGATTCACATACCGTAAGATTGGGTCGTGCATCTGTAGGTTATATGGCATTTATGGATGTTGCATAGATAAGTTTCGTTTTCTTAATTTGAGTGCTATCTGAATCTTTATTCTATACTAATCTAATCGAAAATACTACAATTAACATATTTTAGCATGAATTCAAGTTCTGACTAGGAAATACTTCAAAACGCCTTTCATGTTTGTGTCGACCATGTGCAAAATAAGAGCATGCCTCACCCTAGCACGTGTCCAATACTCTTAAAATTGTGTCAGAGATAATTCTTATCAAACACAGGTAAACATTCATGTGCAAAAGACGTAAGGAACACATTTTAAGCAATTCTTCATTAATGCCTAAAATTTCAAAAAAAAAAAAATACAAGTTTTTCTAAGATTATAACCATTTTTCACACATCCCCAAAATCATCAAAACCATTTTATAAAATTCTACATTTCATTTCGATCACATATGTATATATATATATATATATATATATGCAAATAAGTACATTAGTAATTACTAATTCATTTCTTACTAAAATAATTCCCTAAGATTTTTATTTTAATGGTAATGTAGCAGTAACCAAAGTCATAAAAATCGAACCTAACGTCAAACCAAAAAAATAAGTGGTTCAAGGTTCAATGATTGAACAGAATTTGAACCGGATGACCTTAGTATTATTTAAATAAAAAATAAAATAGATAAATAATTAAATATAATTAACCAACAAAATAAATATTATTCTCATTATTAAAAGAATAATTAAAAAATATGTTTAAAAATATATAATGTATGTGTTTTGAAATAGAAATTTTCAACTAAGTTATTTAATCCTACATCAAGTCGGAACTTGGTTTCCAATGCATCCACTTTCTTGGCCGCCATCAATACCTGATTTTTTGTAGCTCAAAAAATATGGATCTTGATCCAAAAAACAACCAACATCCCCTCTTATGGCAAAAAGCAGCCGCTGGTTTTCACAAAAATAGCCCAAAAACAGTCCCAAAATCTGTTCTGATACCAATTTGATAGGAAACACTTTAAGATCTCAAGTAAAACTTATAAATCTTGGCAAAAACAACGAGAAATATCCACCAAACTCTGAGGGAAAACCAAAAAATAGTAGTTTTATTTAAATAATCAAATATAACGGAAGGAAAAAACTAAGATACAGTCGATCCACAATTCGAGAGGAGGATCTATCTCTCCCAATCCCTAGACACTGCTAGAGCCCATGACGCCAAACTCCAAGAGCACCAAAACAACCACAATAATTTCGTAACCCTAACCCTAATATTTTCTTCCTACTTAAAGCATACAATTAAACCACCTAAGCCAAATTCCTCCCTAGCCCTAGCCTACCCCTCCTTCCTAAATGAATTCCTTAGTGGGACCCACCCATGCTTTGGGCGGCAATTCCAAGAGGGCGGACCGCTTGGTCCACCTCTTGTATACTTGGGCCAGCCCCTTGCCAAGGGCCGGTTGGACCGGTCTAGCATGTACCGGTCTAACATGAGCCTTCTCTATCAAGCCTACTATAGTGCTGCTCCATTTCTTCACGCTATCAATACTCTATCTCTCCAGTACATCTTTAGAGACCATTTAAAACTCTTTCCATCTCTCCTTTTCTGCTACCTAACCTCAAATCTATGGTTCTTTCTTTACTTTTTTTCCTTCTATTTTCAAAACAAAGATAACTTCATTTCTAGCATGTGCCAAATATATATATTCCATGTTTCTCACGAACATAATTTTGATGTTGTTTTTCAGAAGCACCTTTAATATTGATACACTATAAGAGAAAATATTGTCCCAATAGTGTGTTTCGTCCTATTTTTTACAGTTATGTTGAATCTGTCTTTTTATCATATCAATAACCGTGTTTCATATATTTCTGCTGTAAGACCTGATTTATTAGGCTCTAAAGCATCATTTTAGCAAAATTCATGGCCGAATGGCCCAAAACACCTTGTAAAGCAGTTTCCAAGTGGCGTACATGACAGCATATAACCACAAGGATTTTAATAATATACCGGATAAAATGGGATTATTGACATTTAGAAGTACCTCACTAGGAGTTTTCTTCAAACATAATGAGACAAATTCTTTTAATGGTCGAGAGAAATGCTCGTCCAACTGCATCAAAGAAAAATTTACAATCATCCTACTCAGTAGCGAAGAGAATTTAATTACTTGCAGAAATCAAGATGGCGGTCAAACCTGAGGAGGATTTTCCCGTGGTATCATAAATAGAACCCTCATTGGATGCATATCTGCTAAAGGCGGTTCTCCTTTAGCAATTTCTATAGCAGTTATACCTAAGGACCAGATATCTGCCTGCCGCATGAAAATATATCAGAAATATTCCATTTTTTAATTAGGTTCTTTAAACAAATTGCACGCACCTTTTCATTATATCCTTCTAAGTTCTGAATAACTTCAGGAGCCATCCAAAAAGGGGTTCCAACAAAAGTCTAAAAAAGGCTCAACTTGTAAGCAAACATTGATACTTATCAAGTTTACTATGCATGAAATGGATAAACACTACAAACACTACAAATACAATGAAAGCATAATAACAGTGAGAATATTATTTTAAGAAATTGACATGGAGATTCAACAGAAGTAGAGATAGTTTGATAAAGGTGAAATAGAAATCAAAGGAAGAAAGTAAAAAGTATTTTAATATTAAGCAGATATACTACTGCAAGCAGATGGAAACAGTTTATATCCAGTTAAAAGTAGTTGCTAGCAGAGACTCTGATCTTTTGAAGGCATGCATTCAGAGAACATAACTGGAGTAGTGGACTATGAATTCTGTATGCTTATATGTTACAGGTTAGTATATTTATTTGATATGAATCATTATCCTCGCAGATTATTAACTATGATGTTAGAAACAAAGCTATGATGGAAAAAGTAAACAAATACAGGAAAGATAACCAAAATTCAATGGTTTGTAAAAATGCGAAAGAAAAACTGTTCAAATAATCACTTGACATTTATGTGCTCAAGGCAAACAAATATTTCTTCAAAAAAAAAAAGGAAAACAAATATAAAACCAAGATGGTTTTAATGAAAACAAGACATCTAAAATGTCTAATAAAATTAAGTATGCCAAGTATGGTGTTTCACAGACCAAAGTGCAGGCTGCTTTTGCCAACACTTAAGAAAATGACAAGATTTCAATAAAAATGATTGAGATGGCAAATAAATCTGTTAAATAAAGTAGGAGGAAAAGCCAAATTTAGGCAAATCATAGGAAGAAAGATGGAAAAACATCTTTCTAGGAAGTCATTAAAGTAGAATATATTTTATATCAAGTATAGATCTCAGAAGGAATTAATGCTCAAAGATGGATTCATAAAGCTGATACAAATTAAAGAGCAAAGGGATGATTGCTCAATCTTAAAGGTATTTAGTATACAAGCAAACGGAATAACCACAAGGCAATAGGAAGAATATTTTGCTATAAATATGATAATGGACATACTTCATACCTTCTCAAGGATAACCAGAGCTAATAAACTACCATCAGGCTGACTTACCATACCTCCAAGCAGTATTCATTAAGTTTTCCCTTAAAAGACGCCCAACAATAGGAAAATAAAAATGATTTAAGCAAGACAAAATATACTGAAGATCCAACACAAAAAAGAAGTGGAACCTGAAATTTCTCTCCACTTCTTGAACAAGAGAAAAAGTAATCTTGACACAGCCATCCTTCAATCAAGATAATACCTCAAACAGTACAAAATTTAATCCATAATGCAATGCAGATTGGTCTCCAAATATGAAATGATATGCAATCTACTGAATTTTGTTGTCCGCATACATGCATATTAGACTTTCTGGAGAAATCCAGCCAACATTTCACTAAATAGCAGAAAAAGTTCTTGAAGATAAGTTCAAATAAAAAAATGTCATCATAAAGTTTACTTCTTTGTCCCATCATACCATTCACGTAATTTACATGATGGTAAAGTTTAGAAGTCAATTATCTTCATCTCAAGTTCACATTTTTATCAATTAAACATGATTTAAAAAATCTTTCCAAACAATTAAACATGATTTAGGAAACATTCCTAAACAATTAAATATAATTTAATAAACCTTCAAAAATAATCAAACATGTTTTAAGAAATATCCCTAAATAATATTCTCTCTTATTTAAATTCAAATTGGAAATATTTCCCTAAATAATTCCCTCCTTATTCCTCCTAACATAATAAATCACAATTTTGTTGGGTCCCATAAGAGGGACCTAATTTTCCCTATTTTCTGCCCCAGGTTCTACTCAGCCAGATGGATGGTTCGGTCCATGCTGGATCGTATGGCTGGGCTAGCCATCCCCTCTAATCGTATCACATCACTTATTGATAAGAAATTGTAAAAAATGATTTAGTGCATGTAAAACAAAATTTAGCCCAAATTAATTCCAATGGTTCATGTCTCAACAATAAGGGATAGAGATCCATCAAATTTTTTGACTCTCATATTTCCATGTTATGGAGTATAAAATAAAAGTAAGCAAAACCATCAAGTGATTCAAAAGCTCCTCAGTCGATAATCCAAGATTTCTTAAATCCCTAAGTACAAGTAAGAACTTGAGAAAAGTTATTTTTTTTGGGCAAAAACATAAGAGGCAGAAGCTATGTTAGGAGCCATTAATTTGTATAAAAGATCTAATTACTCTTTATTCAATGAAATGTGCTAAAATTGCGAATGATATTCGTCTTTAACATCTAGCTTGTCATGTAGTTTTTAATCATTTTCTCCTTTCTGATTGGTCTTTTTACAGACATCGTGCCAAAGATTATCTCTTTCTCCATGCCTTAATCATATCTTAGGTTTTCTCCAAAATTTTGAAGGCAAGAACAGGCCCTTTAGTTTAAAAATAGTTCTTAGTGCATAGAAGCATTATCATTCTTCGGCTTTCTTCTCTTTGATCATCATTGAATACTTCAACTTTGGATAATGGATGAATCCCCAAGATTTTTTCCACAAGTTTCAACTAGATATTTGTTGAGGCCTGCAAGTGAATCATAAGTTCTTATTTTCTCCACGAATTTGATGTATTTATCCACGCACTCCTTGGGCCAATCATTTGGCTTAAATAGGTCTAGTTCTTACCAAATCTGTGTGAGTGCAATGAAGAATTCGGCAACGCTTATGCTTCCTTGCTTGAGATCATGAGCATGATCTCACAATCCACATAATTGAAAGGAATTTTCAAGATCTAAATGCGTCATGTTGATTTTCTCACAATTTACTTGTGCAGTGGTGTGGATCAACTACAGGAATCTGTGTTTTTTCATAAAATAGATAAGCCAAGACATTACCAAGGCAGTATTAGCTTCCCTAGTTGGAAAAGAAGGATTACCCTCTTTAGGTTGAAGCATGGCAACATGTAGGTACCTAACAATTCAACTTTATTGAATCACCATTTGAACCGATCAAGATCATTAGAGGAAGTTCTACCCATTAGATTTATAAGAAGTGGTTGGAAGTGGCAAGTGCACCATTAAGACACTCGAATTGATGGTGTGGCTTGTTAAGGGCAAAGAAAAAACCATCTTCTGTCCATCTTTGATTGACCCTATTAGGGACCTCACTTAGGCTTCAATCATTTATTCGATAGAAATCTACTCTGATAAGACTGATATGATATCATGTCAGAAAAAAGGTAGAAGAGAAAAGAGAAAAAGAACATGCTATACTTCATTGTATCAACTGGCCAAAACTTAGAACTATAAATAGCGTATAAAAGCGGAAAACAGTTAAGAAATTAGAAGGTTTCAATTTTAGAAGGTTTCAATTTTAAAAACTACTAAAAACAATTAATAGAGTCCTTGTTTATTAGACAACAATCAACCCCCACGCCAATAGTCTTCCATGCAGGTCCAAATAGCAAGCTCTCAAGCGGAATTTGCTGTGAGAATTGCCATCCAAGAAGGCTCCAATAGCTGCACATGATTACATCATCACACCAATAGGAATTCCATGTAGGGTCCAAAAACAACTATCACTTGGTGCCATTTACATGCTAGATTTATATCTAGAGAAAACTCCATAGTACAATAGAAAATAATAGCACTTATTCTTTCCCTTTCGCATGGGGTCAATAGCCGGCATTTTAATGGAAATTTTATTAAAAATCAAATATAATTTCAGAATGTTTTACTCTAATATGAAAAATTGATAAAGAGGAAAGGACATTACTCTACATGCACAACTTGGAGCAATCCACATAAACAACTTAGATCTCAAGAACACATAAACAACTTAGATCTCAAGAACACATAATTTAACGTAATAATTTGAATTATTCAATCATCAATCAATAATAATTAAAGGTCATAACATCCAACATTTTCATACAAACAATACTGAAAAAGATGAGATGGAGGTGCTACTGAAATGATCAGGCAAGTCTGTGATCTAGATAATTATTGTAATCATATCATTGATGAGGATAACTACTTAAGTGTTGTTTAGAGAAACCATTATTCCCATAATAAGCCATGGAAGAGATTTGTTACCCAAGTTTAATAAATTAATGATAATATAATTTCATTGGAGGCTCGATGCAACAAGCATGCGATCGCAAGAGCGTAACTATTAAAGCGAACTTGGTGAGAAGATACAAGCTTGGGATGTGAAAGAAAGATTGAGGACAAGGGGTATAGTGGGATGCAGGATGAGTGAAGCTAACGGTAGTTCAGTAGAAAATAAATCAAAAGACAATTTCAGGATATGTGCTCTGATATCAAAAAAAGAAGAAGAGGTGGAAAGAAATAACTCAGTGTAAATAACTTGGAGCATTTGCATATACAACTTGAGAGCATTCAATTGGATAACAATAATGTGCATTCATTCATCCATCAATCAATAATAACTGTAAGTCATGGTTCTTTATTTAATGAAATAGGTTATAAGGATAAAGCTAACAATTTAAAAACAAATGTAATCCCATCCATTCCTAACATGCACTCAAATTTAAACATAAAATTAGAAATAAAAAGATTATTGAAAATAATACAATAAATAAAAAGAAAAAATAATAGAAAATTTAGCCATAATTTCCTAGCTAGACAAAAGGCCATTGGAAATCAAAAGTTTCCTAAGACAATGCTAGTTAACAATAATAGAAAAAAAAAATCATGCAAAATTACACTGGATTAGCATGCAACATTCAATTTAGATTACTCTTTAAAGTCGCTTTAAAAACTATAGTCCCTTAAGCTTTATTGTTCATTTTTCATCAACCTTATTTAATCCTGACCATCTATTTCTTTGCATAACCCTTCCCATCTTAATATGACCTCACACTCATCTTTAATAATCTCTCTCAACCACTACGACCTTCATTTGTCGCTTATGTTCATTGTGACGAAGATGGGTTCTTTTCAGTCAACTCCATCTTTGCCCTGGGCTATTTTGACTTTGTTGAATTCTTCAGTTACTTCACCTTCTCCTTCGTTCTCTTCATCTTCATTTGCCTTCTTACCTCAGTAATGCCACCTTTCTATGCCTTTTGGTTAACCTTCATCTTGTTGTACGCCTTCTAGATGGCCTTTTGTACAACCTTGTTCGGGCAAAGTGTTCTCAAGATTTTTTCCATGCAAGTGAGACATCATTTTATAGAGAGAACTTAGAAGGCAAGAAATGAAGAAACACCTCTACCAATCTCCCTCTCATCACTTCTTCAATCTAAGAGAGCAATGGAGATCAAGCCAATTTCTTGAGTGGTGAATTTGGATCATTTGGGCAGTGGCACCAACGAAAGTCGTCCATTCTTTTGTGCCATTTCACCCACCAATATGAAAAAGGAAGACCACCAACACATTCTCACTATTCATAACAAATTTTTCTCCATCAAGTCTTTGAGAGTCATCGCATTATTTACACTACTGGTGCATAAAAAAAAAAAAAATTTAACTGCATTGAAATGTTATTCTTTGCGCCAATATCATAAATTGAATGTCAAAAGGATGCTCGAATCAAAGCCGTGATGAAAAGCTATAATGTTAAACACAAACAAATCAAAAGGACTGTCGATGCAAATGATGTCAACGCCATAGTTTGCATTGCCACTGTTGTGGTTTCCTTGATTATTTGATACTTTGGTTGGGGTTGATTCGGCCTGCTTATTCTAACTGCACATAAAACATGCAAACAAATCTTCCTAGTGCTGGATAAGGATTGTCATAATGCATTTAATTTCTCTTTGAAGTGAGGGTATCTTTTTGTCTGTCATTTTTCTTGAGATAAAAAAAGAGATGAAATAACAAGAAACATAAGTGTGGCTAAGAAAAGCGCATGCAATCCACAACATAGAGAGTCGAGTTTTTCTAGCTATTCATAGAGTATGTTTGGAATACATATACATATCACATCAAAAGTCCAGTCAAAGGTCACACAAATGCACTAGCTTGCATAAATATTGTAGCGAAGAAAGCTACACTAACCTTTAAAGCTAAAGCCTGAACAAATAGATTATAAATTATAGCACAACTCAGAAATTATTTACAGTTATAGGGTTGTTTTTGTTGAATAGTTTTAAAATGCATGCATCCATTTTCAAAATGCAAAGTAATTGGACATACATCTTAGGTAAAACTTTTTGTTGCTCTCTCAAGTAGGTCACCAATGATGGTGGGGTGCCTAAAGAGGGTCGCTGGTGACAGGAGAGCTTAAGGGAAGATATCACCAAGAAGAGATGAGACTAAGTGCGACGGAGGCAGAAGCGGGATTTGGATGAGTGTGATGAGTCTAAGTTCAATAGCTAGATATGTGATGGGGTAGGGTATGATAGGGTTGAGTGCACGGCAACAGGAGCTGCACAAGGGAGGTTTTGGAAGTCGCTGGCATTGAAGACAACCTTAAGCAATGAGAGAACTCGGGAAAGAAAGGCACAACATTTTGAAAATTGGTCCATTTTCAAATGCAGGAAAAATGGGGTGTTTAGGGCATTCCTAATGCCTAATAACTTTATATTTGTTTTGCTTTAAACCTAACACCAAAAATTTTTAAAATGAAGGTAAACATAAAATAGTAAACTCCCAATGTTTCCAACCCCTAAGAGTAAAGTTTTAAGAAGTTTTGCATTGAAAGGACAAAGCTATAGATTTCAAGGGATAAAATATTAAACTTAAATAGAAGCCAAAGCAAGCCCACAGTCGAGAAATTAAAGGATCATATCAACTAAACCATAGAATAAAGTACACAAAATCATTCATAAAGATCCAAAATAATTGGGACATAACTAGAAAATATGGGTATGTAATCAAGTATATAAGATTATGTTAGGCCGGTCCAACCTGGACCGGCCCAACCTGGACCGGCCAAGCCGGTCCGGGTCTTCTCCAGGCGACACAAAGCCGCGGGACAGCCAGCGATCGCGAGAGAGCGGCTGGGCGGAAGCGTTGGGGAGCTCGGGAGTGGGGTCCACTTGGAATTCAAACAAAATTGAAGTATTTTTGGAGGGAGAAGGAAGGGTAGAGAGGTCCTTTTGCTTTTGTTTTGAATTAGAATGCATTAAGTAGGGAGAAAGAGAGGAATTAGGGTTATGTGATGTTTTGGTGAGAATTTCTTTTGTCTTCTTGGATAGTGAGGGCTCTAGATCGAGATCTAGAGATTGGGAGAGTGCGATCCTCCTCTCGAATAGAGGATCCTTGTATCTTTGCTATTTTCCTTGCGCCTACTAGTAAAATACAAGTTGTTTTCTCAGTTTTCTCTCAGATTTCTCCTGTTTTCTACTGTTTTTGGCTGTTTTACTGCTGTGGACAGCAGTTTTCATCTTGGATCTATTTGATTTTGGTGAGAAACACTTGGAAATCCAAGTGTTTCCTATCAGATTATAAGCCTATAATAACACTAAAGATGCACCCCAATAAAATAAAATAAAATAAAATAACAATAGCATAAGCAACAATAAACTAACACTAGTTTTTGAAAGAAAAGTGTCACCTTCCGCCTAGAAATTGTCTTTGTTAACTGTGCAGAAACACCAAAGTCTGCCACCTAAGACAAACACTCAGGTGAGTAAATGGGCTGACAATAAACATTTCAATTCCTGTTGATCGCTTTATATCGTATGAGCAAATAATGGCTTCACATACCTTAACATCTCCACTTTCGGTCAACAGAATATTTGCAGCTGCCAAAATAAAAAGTTGGTTTTCATATGATATTTGAGGAATTTAAGCAAAATAGATATCATAAGAGCTGCATGGTTTAATTTTCTGTGCACAAGATGCATACAAGTTCGTTTGGTAAATAATGGACAAAATATCTAGGAAAAAGAATTGAGGAAGTTACCTTTAATATCTCTGTGAATTTTTCCTTCACTATGAAGGTATTCAATTGCATGCAGCAGGTCTCGCAGAATGCATGCAATTGACATTTCATCCAGTGGAGGACCAGTCCGAAGCTACAGGAGCAGAAGTACAGCAAAAACTAAGCAACATTGAATATCTTAATAACAGGATTTCCAGATAGTATAAGAAGAACTGAAGAAGGTAAGAAAATTCTAGAACCAAATGGTTTGCGTTTACACTTAAAACACAGAAATCAATAATATCCTTCCTAAATATGCTAATTCAAAACTTAAGCTTTTTTTAATATGTAGAAAATACTTGAATTGCAACCATTTTAGGAGACGTGCTCTACCTAATAAAATTTGATTTTTCAAAGAAATGAACCATTAAATACCACGAATACAAATACCAAGTTATTAATTATTTATAAAACCACACAGTTTATTATAGCTTTTATCATTTCTTTAACCAACAACACACAGTTCGTTGTTGTTGTTATCATTTCTTTAACCACTAAGTGTAAGTTTCTTTATTAAGTGATACGTGGTCTTAGTGAGATTTGCATGAGTTTCGTTGGCAAGTTCCAAGAAACTTTTTACAATAATTTATAAGAAACATGCTAACTATATCTTTACTTCAATAAATAATATAATAAAAGGTGTAAGAAAATTATTTACCAAACAACCCACTACGACTACTAAAAAAATCATATCTACATATTTTTCCTTCTTTTGTTGGTTATCTACATAGTAAGTTGGAACGTATTAATATAATAGGTATATTTATACATAACAAAATTATTCTAATAAGTAGCAAGATGTAATTTTAATTTAATATATAAATTAAAACAATTAAAATAAAAAAATACAATAGAAATTATTATAAATTTAAAATACTATCTATAGCAGTTATGATTACATCATGAATTATAAAAGTTGATATGCATCTTTTTTAGTTTTACTTTCATTATAAAAAAAAATCATCATAAAAATGACTTGAGTTTTCAAATAGCATTCACAAAATAAAAAATTGTATATATATTGCAAACCCAATGGCTAGAAATTTACTGATTTAACAGAGATTCAAACTCAAGACCTTAGCAACAACTTCCAAAGGCATTTACCAATTGAACTACTATGGTTCTTATTTTCATGTAAATAATGCATATGTTATGCAAATACTTATAAAATTCATTAGGGTTATACTCAATAGAAAGTTCAATAAGATCTATCGACTTTCTAGGTAGAAAACTGATATTTGATAAATGAATTATATGCAAAAATAATCACAAGTAATATCAAATCCCAATCATATGCTCTTTAATTAGACATCTCAATGTAGCATCAAAACTCTTCTTAAGCACCCATGTTTGCCCATCAATTTGTGGGTGATAAGCAATTGATATCTTATTTGAGTTTTCATCTTTTATAAAGTGTTTTCCAAAAATTACTAGTGAATTTTACATTTCTAACTTATATAATGATTTTAGGTAATCCACGCAGGTTAACCACTCCACTGAAATACAAATTACCAATATGATCAATATCATTAATTTTATGACATAAAATGAAACTCATTTAAGAAAAATGATTTACCACTAAGAAAAAAAAAAAAACATGCTTCCTTAAAGTACGGGGTAGGCCTAATGTAAAGTCCATGCTAACATCCTCCAAAGCTTATATGGAATAGATAAGGATGAGTAAACCCCAATGTTATGTATATTTTTTCTTTAGTTTATTGACAACTTCGGCAATGTGAAACTATGCCTGTTACATTTCTTTTTTATGCAAAGTCAATAATATCTATTCTCAGCCATGGCCATAGTCTTATCCCTACTAAAAAGCCCTGAATCACCTCTAGCGTGCAAATTTTAAGATTAAAAAACCCTCATAGATGAATAAAAAATATAAAGACATGCACCCTTACATAAATAACTTTCTTTTGATAAAAAAAAATATTTGTCAAGCACAAATGAGATACCATTTAGATATTGATATATTGCACTAAAATCTTTACAAATATCATTCTTTGTATACGATCAAAATTCAAAACCAAGCATCTTAAAAATAACAACAATCTATACTTAAAGCATACTCCTACAACAACACAATCCATTTTGTAAGCCTAAATTCTTTTGTGAACTTAAATATTTAAAAGGTTTATTACCATAATAAAGAACAAATTCTTTAGAAAATAAGTAATTACTAAAATAACTTAGTGCTTGCACAACAACATAGAATTCTCTATCATAATATAAATATTTATGCACGGCCTAGTTCAATTTCTTAAAAGCAATTAGATGCCTTCATTGACTTAAAACTCCACAAAAATATATACCAGCTGCATCACAAGAAACTTTAAACACTTTGTTAAAACCAGGCAATTTAAGCACATGTTAAGCAGATGCACAATAGATTTGTCCAATTCAAATCTTCTTTTTCTAAGACAATTCGTAATTGGTGGCCTTACAATACTAAATCCCTTTTTAGCCATCTTTATAAAGTAGACAAACCGCTTTTGCATTCTCCAAAACTATAAAAATTCAAATGATTAGATGAACCTACCAAATCAGCAACAGAACCACCTGCCATGTACTCCATAACTATCCAAAGTTTGGTTTGATGGAGATAAGAGCCATAGTAGTCAGTTATGTATGGAGAGCGGCACTGTGACAAAACTGAAATTTCCTGGCAGCATAAAAACATATAGATTTCAGATGATTACTCCATAATTGAATATGCCTAAAAAAATATTTTTCCTCGTGCAATACCTTTTGAATGTCTTCAATATCATCCTCTCTGAAATAGAAAACTAGATGTTAGTAATTTTGAATGGTAAATGATTAAATTATCAAAAGTTACCAAGAACTTCAAAGGCTCTACAGATGATACTTAACCTAAATAGGGTCAACAAGGAAAACAATTACACTCTTTCACAAAATCTGCATACATAGGAGCTCAAAATGAATCAACACTTCACCGAAAGAGGCAACAACAACAACAACATCAAGCCTCTATCCCACATCATGGGGTCGGCTACATGAATCATTTTTCTATACTGTACCCTATTTCAAGTAAAATCATAATTTAAGCATTCAATCTAGCAGTTAAATAGGATGGCATGAACACATGTATTGAAATTTCCGTGTAATCGAATATCTACTGTGCAAAGAAAAAATATATATATCTTGAGATGAAAAAAGAAAAGCAATGGAGTTGATGACAAGTAGAAAACATTAAGTAATGACTTAAAGAATGCTTGTCATTGCATTAATCTATTATTTTAAAGCAAAGGAGGTCAAACAAAAAGGACGAGACAATGAAAGTACAAGAGGATCGTGAAATTTCCTTCCAACTATAGGAAATTTCTATCTCTACCATGAATAATACGTAAGCTGATTATCCCAAACAAGAAACACTCAACACATCAACTGTCATGAAGCCAAACATCCAAGCTTCTGCCTCTAATAAAGCAAAGAAGCACGACATAAGAAGGCACTTATGCCCTTCTCTAGAGAATTGTATGCAACAAATGAAGGCACAAATTGATATCTAATGCTTGCTTCGGCAAATTCCCCAAAACAAAAAAGCAAGATTACCACATGCCAACCTTTCTACTCCCGCAATCCATCTCCATTTCAACCCAGAACAAGTTAAGAAGCATCATCTTGAGAATACTTGTCATGAGGTCTCACTAACATACGACTACATCCTCCACCACAACCACGAGGTAATGCCAAATCAAATACTGTCAGTTCACCCCATTTGCCCCCAAGTGCAAGAGACAGTTAAAAACATTCCTATGCCTAGAAATAAAGATTTTCCACATGATCTCCTATAGGATGAACTATAATGTCTCAAGTGAGAAGAAATCTCCTTGGGAGGAGGGAGAGAGGGGGCATAAAAACCAACTTCTCCAATAAGACCTTTGTAAAGGTTCACCATTCTCAGCTACCATACTGGACCACCAAATCCCTCTAAGATTCAAGATGATCATATGGACACTTATGATAGTTCCATAAATTCTCATGAGCACGATGACCAATATTAGATGATCATGTATATCCAACGTTCAACGTGCTTGTTAACCAAATATTCTCCATTACACTCAAGGAACAAACCCGAAAATTATTTTATTCCTTTTATATAGAACAATCAACATAATTGTTGAATTGACTAGGCTCTTCGACAACTACTTCATTATCAATAGAAAAATTATTACAAATTACTCTTATTCATCAGACATCCACAAAAATGAAGACAAGTCTCTAAAAGGCTACTTCACAAGGTTTTCATGTGAACTCAATAAATTCCAATAGGCAACCAAGAAATCCACCACCTAGAGAGCTTCACCCAAGGCCATTTTACTCGTTCTTGATGCAAGACATAGCCCAAACCTACCCAAACTTGATTATTACATCAATTCTCAAATCAACATTGATGAAGCCATCGATGCACACCTCCAAAGGACCTCCTAACCGCCAAAGAAAAGGAATAAACAACAAGAAAGGTTGGATCAATGCTCTAAGCATCATAGGAATCAGCACATAACAAATAGTCCTCCTCCAAGGAACCATTAACAATAACATAAGCTAGGTCATAAACGTCAGGCTTTTCTATGGTTGTGTGTGTGCAGAAACCAAGTGATTGCTATGAACGCCATGCCCTAAAGATCTCTACTAATTACAACTTATTTCTAGCATGCAACATCTTCTACAAAATTCATATTTCATTTAGTAGGCATTGATAAAATGTGACTCAGAGCTTTGAGGGCTCACTAGTTAGCGATGTTTAGCATCAAGCTTTCATGTAGCAATCAATTCAACACATGAGTGCTCTTTGTTGTAATTCTATCCAAATAGATTATGGCACTTCAATAACTTTGGTCAAACTGAGTTGACGCATCCTAAAGATTTCTATTTATTCCAACTCATTTATGGCATGCAACAACTTCTAAAAATTTCACATATGATTTAGAATGGATTGATATAATGTGAATAAGTGCTTTAGGCGTGTGTTAATCAATAATGAAAGTAGTTTAAAATCAGATTGCATATAAGAGTCAATTGGATACATTAGTGCTCTCCTAAGTAATTCTATGTAAAGAGATTATGGTACTTATATAGCATTGGTCAAAGTGGTTCAAAGCATCTGAACATTTTTTACTTAAGTTTGTCGATAATTCCTACCTATTTTACTGAAAGACACCTCTACATTTTAGCATGGAAGTCTGGCCAAGGGACCACCACAATAGGTTTGAAAGTTTAAAATTATCAAATCAAGAAAAAATGCCAAAAATATCTGCCATTGCAAGTATAAAAAATAGAAAACAATTAAAATTGACCTAGAGAAAATTGACTTCAATCAATGACTAATAATATTGATGCCATTTCAAAACATTTCTTCTGACTGACACAGCATAGTTATTGGTATTTTCAATATTATATTTTATGTTGTTCAACTACTTTTCTAGCATTTACATTTAGATCATCTACTCACTGAAAGTGCATATCCTAGTGAAAAACCACGGTAGTTAATTGGGAAAGTTTATGTATTAAAATTTGATCAATAATTCTGTAGTTGATTTTTATTGTAAGAAAAGAACTTATACACATTAGATGGAATGTGACTGTGTGGTCTTTGTCACTTCAGTCAAACCAGGTAGATTGTATTATCATATACTCTTAAGTCTTAACACTAAATCATGGCCTAACTAAAACGATACTGATTATATGTTGCTCCAATGACTTAATGCCAATAGTTGTTACTAGCGTTCTCCCTTCACAATAAATCATGATAATGTGATGGCTTCTTTCTTTGCTTGCTTGTGCCATTGGCGCACATGCATCCTAACTTATGATCACAATAAGATTCAAAGCATAATCTTGAAAGAATCAATTTGATCAAAAATAAAGAAGAAAGGCAACAACCAAAAAGCATAATCAAAAACCCGATGGCACAAATCTTAATGGAAGCATTATCCCATTAAAGGCAAATATTCTCGTTACAAAAATAAAAGTCATTAAAAGAAACAATTGTCCGGTAAATGATTGAGCTAAAATATCTATTGAAAAGAGGCACTTACGCTTCTTCCAGATCAATAACTTTGATAGCAACTTCTTTATTGAGCTCCTTGTCAAAACTGCAACATAAGCAAATCGTCAAAAACTCTACATTTATAAGAGTAGGTGCCAAATATAACATTATTAGGTGAGTGTTTTCGTTACTCAAATCTACAAAAAGCCAGACTCTACATCCACTATACAAACAGTACTTCCTAATTTCCTATTTATTATAGGGACGATAGAAAATAATAATAAACCTAAATTATGGTAGCTATACAAATGAAAATATGACAATACACTAATTAGCATTCAACATATTAAAATTAGTTTTTTTAGCAATGTCTAAGATCCAGTGAAAAAACCCAAATACTCCAAATAACCATATCCAAGTATGAAACCCCATTTATAATAAAAAAAAGTATGAAACACCATTTGCTTATTATGTATTTCTTAAGTAATTTATCTCATAGTTTATCAAAATGTGATCCTTCAAAGAAAATTATCTCAATTTTTCCTAAACAAAATGGTAGTTGTATGAAAGCTCTAATTATCGACAGACTTAAAATTGGTAATCTATGGATTCTCTTAAAAAAATAATGAAGCTTCAATAGGACAAAGGTGAAATTATTTTTTCTAATGATAGATACATAATACTGGAGTAAATGCAATTAAGATTGATATCCCAGTAGTCTTTATGCATATGAAAATGATTGATTCCCGTGCATGTAATAAATTTCTGTAAATAGAGGCAATAGCCCAAGAATTTTATCTACGAGCCTAAACACCTCATTATACTTCAAATCCTAAATCAATATTCTCAAAAAAATTGAAAACATCACTTTCTCAATATAAGATAATCCACTTTTAAATAGCATCCACCATATTCAGAAATTTAAAGCCATACGGATTTGGTCAAACAAGATGCCCAAATTTCAGCAAGCAATTAAAGTGGGAAAATAGGATAAATGAAGCTCTATGCATACCAAGTAAGAAAATGATTAATTTTAGGCATTCAGGCATCACCATAAACATATTGGTTACAGAAAAATAAATATTTCAAATACAGAATCATACATGCATGTCCATTCATTCTAACAGCTTGCAATAGGTTATGAACTCCAAATGGAATGAATTTAAATTATTTTATTTGATTTTGGTTGATAAGTTAAAACTTCAATAATATCCAAAATTTATGAACTTTAAAACTTTACTCTCTGGTTGTTTTCCATTATCCCGCTTTAAAACAATAACTAAAAGTGAAATCTTATGTTTCAACCTTCTTCACAATAATGTAAGCAAAAAAACAATCCACAACAAGTGACAAATTCTACCAGTAAAAAATTACCCAAGATCTTATCCAACTATCCTCCACCAAAATCTCAAAAACTTAATATCAATTCCAGTAAAATCAATTGCCCTCCCCAAACAGTCCCAAGTCCAAATTTAATTGCATCAACATAACTCATCTTCCTTTTTACAAACAGTCCAAGTTCACTTGTATGTAATAAACAGAATCACCATAGCCTTCATACAACAAGTGGAACTTTAAAATAGAAGAACAAGCTACAACTACAGAAAACGTTGGAGAGAGAGAAAGCGTGCTACAGGCAACGACAATATTACAATAAAGATAAAGATTTATCACCAAATTCCAAATATGATCTATATCCTCACTGAGAACAGAACTCATGTAAAATCTGCTTAAATAGAAATGCAAAAGGGAAAAGGCAAAAAAAAAAGAAGCTTATTTGTTCCCATTGTACATTGCCGCGATATTTAGTGTAAGAAATTGATATCATCAATAAAATCAGACAAACAGCAAACAAGCCACCTGACATGATCAACAAAAGAAAAGCAGAATCCATTTCCAATTAAGCAGCACTTACCCTTTGAAAACATCTCCGAAGGAACCCTTCCCGATCAGCTCTAAATCGCTAAACCTCGCCTCGATGGCAGCGACCAAAGCTGACGAATCCGACATCTTTATCCCTCGAAACCCAGAGGAAGTCGGCAAATCAAAACCCACATCAAAATCCGAACTTTAACGCAGAGCCAATGCCACCAATCCCACTTGATTTAAATCCGCCGGCAGAAACCTTAGCGGCGGCAAGGCCACATGGAAGAGCTCGCCGCCGTAACTTGGACGCAAAGGCAAGGAATTGAACGGATCGATCGTGAGCAGATACAACAAATCGCTGTCGCTAGAAAGAAGTAGAGGACTAAACGGGTTTCGAGGATTTTTGATGTCACCAGAGAAGAGCAGCCGAGGTTGATCTCACATGGATGGCGATGGACATGTGAATCTTTCTTCGCTTAGAGGGATGAAAGAGTGCATCCGATGAATGAATGAAGACATTTGAGTTTCAAGATGTTGGAACTGAGAATACTTTGCGGAATAATATTTCCTTTTCTTGAGATTTTTTTTTTCATGTTTTTTTGTGAATTTAAAAAATATTTTATTTAATTTCATAATATGAGGTTTGTTAATTTTTAAGCAAATTTGTATGAAAATAATTTTAAAAATTTTATGATGTATTTAGGAAAAAAATTGTGACTGGAAGATTTCATCACAAATAAAAATTATATGAATTTGTCATAGAGGCCCTCTAAGAAAATTATTTTATAGAAAAAATAATAATTATATATATATATATAAAATTTGGCCTATATCATAAAGCTCTGATAATAGATCCTAGTTCTATTTAAAAAAATGATAATTAATAATTTAACATAAATAAGAAAATCTAAAGCACATAAAACTACATAGAACATTAGGTTAAAATTAATTTTTGATATATATAGATATAAGAGGATTTATAGATAGTTTATTCTTTATATATATGAGGTCAAATAATTGTTTTGCGAACATAGCAAGTGTATATATCTTGTTATTTTTTATAATATAAAATTATAGACAAAGTCCATTAGAAATAACACACCAGAGCTTTATAAGGTGTGTGGTATGAGAGGAGTTTGGACTTCAAAACCTTAGAGGTCCCGACGACTTGATTGATAATTAGTTGGTGATCACTAAAGGCTTTTAATGGATGCCCATCTAGAAAACCAACTCTAGACATGTTATCAGAACTTCGTATTTTGCCTCATTGTTGGAGTGTGATTCTGAGAAATTATAAGAGCAATGAAATATCATACCCCATAGTGTCATAAAAATAAGGTCTAAGAAAGACTACCCTAACATTGAAGAGATGATATGAACTTTTTGTCTTTATATAGGTCAAGCCATGAAAGTATAATTCTCAATTAGGGAACTCCTAATCCTTGACACTCAAGATTTGCTTATAATGTGTTTATCAATGAATGGTGAATCAACGAGAATGAGATGGGCTTCTAAAAAGTCAGTCAAAGGTTGTCCTTTGATAGCCCACTGAGAAATGACAGTAATGTCAAATTAAAGAGGGACCTTAAAGCAATGAGTTATGTGACCTAACAAAGTTGGGTGAATCATTAAGTAGTTGAGTGGATTTCCTTTGGAGATAATATTAATCTTGTGCAAGGGAATTTAATGATGAATCTTTCGCACATTAAAGATAGGCACAATACAATGCTTTTCAATGATCGCGTGCTTAATCTCAATTGGAATGAGACATCAAGTAAGATAATATATAAAGCATTATTTTTGCCTTAACAATTGTGTTAATCTAAGAATATGTCAAAAGATTCATCGAGAGTGATTTTATAGATAATTAGAGGTTTTCCCAAATTGAGTTAGCCAATTCATCTAGGGGAATCAGGTAGTGCTTGATGTTACTGAGGGCCTCCTAATGATGATGATCCCACCAAAAATAATTTTTCTTCTTCATAATTATCATGAATGGTTGGCATCTATCAATAATGTTCAACACAAATTACTGTATGAAGATGTATATGCTCTAGAAAGATCATAACTACGTGAGACTTCTCAAAGGCTTTGTGTTTATGGTAGCCTTGATTTGAGGGGTAAATATTGATGTTATGATGACAATTAATAAATCATAATAACTTATAGGTTGACACTCTTAAAGGCATACATCAAAAGATTTTTATCATGATATAATATAGGGGTAAACACTCAAATACAATCAATAACATGAAGGTGATTTTTCCTAACCATGCTCTTGACGATGAGTTGTTAGCAAAGCCCTAAACTTGATGATGGATGAGCTCATCAATGATATGGGTCATTTCATGCCAATAAGTAGGCCCAACATTCTTAAGGCTGAAAGATATCATCTTATACTAATATACATTATAATGCCAATCATAAGCTCTATAATGGGTGAAAATAAAGTCATCATTGGGACATGGCTAGTTTAAAACATATAAGTCAATATATATAGTTGTTTATCCGATGTTCTTTCAAACTATAATTATATTTGCTAGTTAAGTGGTGTACTTCTCTTCATGGAAAAAATCATTTTTAATAAACTTCTTCATTTTAGTACTCGATCTCTAACCGAACCTTGCTAGGTGGCTATTTGATAAGTGGATGCTTCAAGCTTGAGGGCAAGTGTAATGCCTGACCCAACTTTTCATAGCCTTAACAAGTTAACCCGAATTAGGGACGAGACACCAAACAAGCCCATGACCTAATTGGAAAGAATAGCCTTTTATCTTGTTACATTTCCTAGAGCCAATATATATTGAGAAATACAACTAAATTAACATTCATTTCACATAAAACATAAAAAATATAAACATCTCTATTAAGTCTCAAAAAAATCATGTATAATAGTCACAAATATCATTACTCACATCATTTTATCCTAGAACTTCATGGCCCAGTTTTAATCATTCAGATTTGAGACCGAGAGGTACGTCACCACCCACCCCTCCGCGCTCTCAATCCAGTCGTAGACAAATGTGCAAATGCCAATTTTTAAGAATACTACATGGGGTAAAAAGCTCGTTAATTTAAAATATTATTTTCAAACCAAATATTTACATGTGCTCCAAACATCACTTTGAACTCCTAAACCTAAGGTTTGAGAATTGGGGTGGGTTAATATTTCAAGTTTGATCCTCCTCTTTGAAAGGTATGGAGTTGCACTTATAAAATTTCCTGGGAGATTTTATTTTAAAGCTCATATTAGGCATTCAAAAGCTCTTTACATGAAACTCCTCAAACAAACATAAGCTCTCGGTTATTAATGTGCATTTGATAACTCACAAGCTCAATAATAGAACTTGATCCTTTATTAGCAGGCAAACAGAGTTGTCAAGGTTCTCAATAACCAATTATTTAAATCCTTGATGATAGCCATGTTGAAAGTAAATCTCACATGGAGGGATCCTATCTTTTAAATGACTCCAAACTACTACAAAATACCAAATATTTTCAAGTACCTCTTATGCTTCCCCGATAATGAATGTGTTGAAAGGTAAGATCAATCGGAGGGATCAATTATCAATGATCTATCCAAATTTCAATGCATAATATCTATCTAAATATTAATATTTTAAAATTAAAATTAATTATATATAACTTAAAATAAAATTTATTTACCCTCCGCAACTGTTTGGCGGGCTTGATAAACTCCCGATAACTCTAGCTCATAAAAAGTGAATGTTCAAATCGAGAATATCACTAAGATTTATTCTCAAATAATATCTTGTCAGTAAGAATGTGACATTTATCCTCTAATCGGTGGCTTGGCCATATGACTCCAGAAAACTCGTAGTTTGGTTAGACAGTTCTATGTGATATTATTATGATTGATCCTCTAATCGGTGGCTAGACTAGATGGCTACACAAAGAACCAGTGGCTTGGCGAGAATGGTTCCATGGGGTAAATGATTATGATCATGGCTCTCTGACCTAGTGGCTTAGTTGAACTGCTCCACTATATTACAGTCATGACTAAAAGCCTATATGTCCCTTAGTGGCTAGTTTCCATATTGTAATAAATTATAGAGTATAATTAATAAGGCATAAAATCTTTTATAAGCTAATGTTGACATAAAAACTCATCCCAAGTTTATAAGTTAGCCTTGTACGAAGCAACCTATGGCTACCTCCTCTGACTAAGTAGACAAGGGACCATGATGACTTGAAATGATGAAATCATTAGATCTTGATCAGGTTTATCATCATTCCCCCACCATCGCTTTAAATGACATATTATAAATTTCAAATTTTAAATTTTAAATATGTTGTTACTATAGATTGGATATTGAATATATGTTTAATAATTAGCCTTAATCAAAAGTGCTTGCTAATTAATTATAGGAGCTTATGCCTATAGAAAATCAAAACTCAGGTTTAAAGTCATCGCTAAAAGGGCAAAATCACTCGATAGTGTCTTATCTCTATCTAATCTATCTTCTGAAAATTTCTCTTGAAATATTCATCAATTAAAACTCTCTTCGAACATACGTAGACAGGTCGAGGCCCAAATGCTTAATTTTGGAGCCCACATCTTGCTACAACTTTAGCTTGAGCAAGGTATATGTAATAACTTAAATATGTGAAATAAATTTATTTGAAAAACATGAAAATTTCTAAGTATAGTGCTTTGGCCCTAATCTAGTGTGTGTGTGTGTGTGTGTGTGTGTGTGTGTGTGTGTGTGTGTGTGTGTGTGTATATACCCCATCGACTCCCTTGCTTAGTTGCTTGGATAGGAAGATATTCAAAGAGGGGAAGAAGAGGAAGGAGAGAGAAAGATTTTTGGATCATATTTATCAGTCATTCATGTTACAAATTTTATTCAATTCATTATAAGTGACTAATCTCTTATTTCTATTTTCAATGATTTTGATTTTAATGGATTTTATCTCTCCCAAATATGTCAAAAATGCATTATCTCCTAATTTCATAAGCTTTCATAGAAGAAGTTTGGACATGTTATAAATATGTTCATTTTGAATGATTTGATATGATTTTATTACAGTTTAATTAAATAAAATATTGAATGATATTAGATACATAATATGATAACTCTACATAATACCCTAATAATCCATGTTATTCAAGAGAATTTATAAGGAGTATATTATTTGTGAGTTATAAGGGGCGACTGGTTGATAGTCATAAGTGTAGAAGCAAGATACCCTTAAGATATATTCATTGAATATATGAATATTGAAACTGATAATGTTATGAACACTATATTGATATTATGACTAACATTAATAATATTTACTATCATTAACACAATTTAATGTTCTTGATTATGATATTAATATTAGTACTAACATTAGTATTATTGATTATTGTTGATGCTGTGATTGATGATGTAATGAATTGATATATAATGAACTATATAAAGATAAATTAATACAGATAATCAACATAGATA